TTAAACTTTGTGGAGCCCCTACCACATAAGCAATAGATTGAGCTCCACTGTGCGCGTGTGAGATTGTGGGGAGGGGTAGTGTAGCGGTTAGCGCGCTGCGCTACAAACCTGGCCACCCGGGTTCAATTTCCGCTCACAGCCAACACCAGCGACGATTACTTCAACCAGTCCTGAGCACCCCCCCCCCCCTAGGTCGACTCAGCCTCAAATGAGTACCTGGTGCGATGTGTAAACATCGCCACTAGGGAGACAAAGGCGGCCGGGCGTGGTGCTGGCCACCCACCCCCTCGTGTGTCTTGCCGGCCTTCGTAGGTGCTCGCTAACAGCACTTGCCCCGACAGTCTGTGAAGGCTGTACGGGTCATCTTTGTCTTAGATGTGCCCCGACGTGCATTCACAATGTCCAACAAATTGTCACGAAAAAAGAAGACATGACTAACATTTAAAATCTCCCCAGCGATGAGGGCAGCTGCAACCTACGATGTGTGTGCGCACGCACGGAACAACTCAACTATTACGAAACTATGTTTTATTTTACCAGGTAAGGCCCACTGAGTTATAAACAGCTCTTTTTCAGAAGTGACCTTGCCGCAAACGACAGCTCAACGAAGTGGCTTATCACGTGGAAATGTATTGCAGCAAAATTCTAAATGGATGTTTCTAAATGTGGAGGGAAAACTCAGAGGACCCGGATAAAAACAAAGTCCACACGATCACAGGAAGAATATGCAAACTCCAAATATACAGCAGGTGTCAGGGTCGGGATCAAACCTATGACCTCCTGTACACCAGCCAAGGTAGTAAACATCTCGCCACTGTGGAAGGGGTATACTCAGTTATTGACCATTGCAACTTCTCAACAGCTCCAACGCTTTGCAGTAACACGCAGAGAACATGATGCGGGGAGCTGCACGGGTCCCAGTGGAACTGTCAGGCGTGTGAAATGCGTGAGAATATACCAGTGTTTAGGAAGGTAAAGGGAGCAATCTCCCCAGCTGGGAACTGCTGCATCACGAGTAAACAACTTCCACGGACAATTTCAACGGCTCCCATCCCCCCATCATCGCACCCACCGCGGTCTCACCCCGGTCCCCCCAACGCTGTGTGTTTTCTGATCACCCCCCTGGTGCAATTGATGTTCAAAAGCATAATAATGGATGACATTTTGCTCCAGAAGGATGCCTTCGCCATCTGGTATTGTGTGTTTTCACATCTGCGAAACGTTTCATTTTGCGTTGTTTGTCGAGTTCTAGATTTATTCTTGTTTCCATCGAGACGATTGCAATTAGAACGGGTGACTCGCGAGCGGAAGGTTGCGAATTGGAATCTCCGGTGTTGATGAAAAAAACACAAGTTCCCACTTTATGGAGCCACACTGCGCACCTGCCATAGGAGTGTGCAATTTCCAAGACAACCTCGGCGCTGTCAATAAACATATGCGATGCCCCATGCTCATTTGAGCAGAGACACTTTGACTTTGTTGGCAGAATATAATCACCACCACCAGAGCCTCCACCTTCGCATTTGAAGCGTACGGCTGTGTCAAGTAATGAGGACGGCGATGTCAAGGACAATGTTATAGGATTGCAAGTAATCAGAATGCTGTGCTGACATTAGCAAACAATCTCCATCCAGTGCCATTGCAGTTCCCGTTGTCCTCATCAGCAAAAAAACGCTTCTCCATACCAACACCGTTATGTGTGGTCCTGTGCACCTGCAATCCATCTCCTTTCCACGTGTGCCCTGATTTCATCACTAGCCCTCCCCTGCCGGCTGTCACACATCGTTCACATTTTCTCTCATGGGTGCCCGTTCCATCAATACACGTGTCCATCTGTGTTCATGACATGAACTGCCCGAGCTTAAATTGTTTCATTGAGAAGTGGGTGCAATGCATCACACTCTGCCGAGTCCTTTAATCTAAGCTCTTCATCTCGTATCTCTCTGGGTTATTGATCTCCATGTTAGATAAGTGCAAACATGGTAAAGGCTGAAAGGAGTTCCTTGTATGCGGTGGGTTCGAGGGTTTCATCCTCATTATTGATGGCTGCACATCAAACATCAACACAATTGGTCCATATGCTTAGTTTGGTGCAACTGAGTGTTCACCAACCACTACTGCCACTGTATGGGTGGCACAGTGGTGCAGTGCCACGCAGCAAGAAGCCCCTAGGTTAGATTGCTGTCTTGGGAACTTTTCTGCGTGACGTGTGTATGTTCTCACCATTTTCCTGCACGGGGGTCTCTGGTTTCATCCCTCAGCTAAACAAAATATAAAAATGTAACGGGTATCTTCCAAACATCCCACAATTGGAAAAAAACAGTTGCTCGATTGGGAATACACAAGGCAACATCACCGACTATTGTAGAAACTTGGCAGGACCCTCCTGCAAAAAGTCTCGAGACTCGGTGAGGCCTTCCTGGGTATAACAAGCATAATACGATCAGCTGTTTAAACAAATTAGTGTTGCGGAATTGATACCCAAGAAGGTGAAATTTAAGCACACTGGCAAATGTGCTCTGTTTAGCTCCATAACTGTTCCTCCATAAGATGTAGGTACTGTTCAGAATCAGAATATTTATTGATCCTGGAGGAATCCGATGAGCTATAAAGCTCTTTTTCACAAATATCTGGTAGGGGCAGGTCAGAACGTTACAACAACAAACAATAGAAAAACGTGATAGGAGTGCAAAGTGTAGTAAAGTTAAACACGCCACTTAAAACATATATACAAATACAACCAAAATTAGTTTTATCTTACCAGGTAAAGCCCACTGAGCTATTAACTGATTTTTCAGAATCGGCCACAAATGATAGCTCAACAAAGTGGCATATCACGTGGACATTTATTGTAGCAAAATAATCTAAATACTGGTGTACGGTATTTCTAACGCAAAAAGGGTTCCATTAAAAAAAGCGTTACAATGGCGGCTAACACAATGCTCGAAGTTCACTATGCTGAAACATCCCCCCCCCCCATCACAGCACTCGCACAAAAAATATATTGAGGCACTGGTAGCAAGGGGAGTCTTATGCTGGGTTGTGAACAACGTCTCAGCCAAACTCCCGAAGTGTGCCATGACTCACGAATACAAAGACCAAAGGGAGGCATACACACACACTTGGCATAACATTCCCGTTTAAAGAAGTCATCCGCTACAGCTCAGATAGGCATGGACAACACAATTCGGCATAGCACGCTCTTTTATGTTGTATCTGTTTTTGGCTTCATTGAACTGACACGGAGCAGGTGAGGACCGAGATCATAATTAGATAATGTGGCATCGAGTTTTAAGTGCCGCAGGTCATTAATGATCAATATAGGGCTTTAGAGACAGTGGCGTCAAATTTTCCTTTCAGGTTTGTTTTTTTTTGCTTCCCACCCCCGTGCGTGAAGAAACGAATCGGACTCCTTTACTTAACAAGACGATGGCGTTTACAACCTGAGCCGTGACGGTGAAACCGTGCAAGCCTGGTGGTAACGACAAGGTCCAGATGCGGTTTCATTCTCGTGAAGGCCACCCACTGCTGTCAGCAGAAGTGTCATTTAAATCCCCCGAATAGGCTGAAGTCACCAGCAATTTGATGAATCGAATTTAAGTGCAAAAAACCACTGCACACACACCTGGCACTATGCTTACCTTTCACATTTAAGTTAGGCGAGGTCTAAATCCCCTGCAGGAGTAGTGTTTGATCTCGCTGCAGTATAGTTGTATCGGTTTATGCACATCCATTATATATGATAAACTTTAAACGATAGTTTTGGGGTCAGAGCCACTGTTTAATCCATCTTGATTGAAAGACACCGGAGTGTGCTTATGGCGAGTAATAGCCTTGAAAACAACTGTGTCGTAAATTACATTTGTGTTCATGTTATTTGGCTTACGCTGAACTTTATTTAATAATCGTTATAATTTGAAATACATTTTGAGACATTTTAACTTTACTCTCATAAAATAAACTACATTTATTTTGCTCATATTTTAAACGTGCATTAATGGTTTATGACTCGTATTTTACTGTTTTGTATTATTCGTGATTCCAGAGGAGACACGCTCAAATGCGCAGACATTTCCGGTTAGCGAACAGGCACATTCTCTGGAAATAAGTGGTACATTTTAATCCAAAGAAATCAGCAAAATTTTTTTTACTTTGCCTATGGAAAAATAAATCATCCTGCTGATGGTAGGCCACACTGGCACTAGGGTATGTGACTACATTTGGAAGAATATCATGTTGGCTATGGTCTTAAGTAGTCACTGTACTCTACTGTGAATTATGCATCTTCATTGGAATACACCAGCTTGTGCCAACAATCACATTTCTACGAACTCCTGTGTAATAAGCTCACGAGGGAATATTGTGAGCGGAAAGCTCGTGAAAATGTTGAGTCCATGTGTCCCCTTGTTCATACGAGTATGGGGTGGCAGTTATATCCATTGCCAAAGAGCCACCGGTGTAACTGCCATATTGCCTAAAACACTATACACAAACCTTGCGCCTCCTCTTTAGAGGCCACTTTAAAGAGATTTCAGCGGTAGTCCTGTTACATCTCCTTCCACGGACCCTTTTCTAACACGGGGCGTTGCACCGAGGGTTCCGAATGCATTCGTTGATATATTTTATCTCGTGGCATGACACCGATTGCACGATCGGAATGAACATTTTGGGAACGAGATGTTAAAAAATAAAACGTTCACAAAAGGCACAGCCCGAACGGTGAACATTCTATCACAGTTCATGGAGTCGCTCAAAGGCAGACAACACTGCCTTTAATAACAAAAAAACCTCCATGGTTCCTCGGTTCATTAACCAACACGGAGAGAGCTGGGGTTGGGCTTTTTTTTTTGTATCCGCTGTACAAAATGCACGCTGAATTATTTGCTGGCAAGGACATGTTTAGAATGTTGATTATTTGCGCAGCCACAACGTGTAAACTATACTTCAGTTCACGCCGTGTTACACAACTATGTAAGAAACTTGCACTGCTTGTTTGACAGAGCCAGAAAAAAATCACTCTGATGGCGAGGCTCAAAAGGAAGATTGCGAGCATTATGGAAACTGTTCTTCTGGCCTCGAGGGGAGCAGGGAGCAAGGTCAGTTTACGTGTGGGTGGATGCTTGCACATGTATAAGCGTTCGCTACACTGTATCTCTAGTGCTTTGCTTGTGTGGGTTTGTATTACATTTGCGGATGCATTTTCATCCGCAAATGTATATACATAGTTCCTTGCACACTTGCCGTGCCATTTTTTCCTATGGGTGCAATGACGTGCCATGGCGATGTCGTGTTTGCCGCCTTGTTGCAGAGGTTCAGGATTCGATTTCCCCAAGCCACCATGGTCATTACTGCGGGCGTATTGCCCGTAAAATACCATGCGCTGCCACCACACAATGGACGTCAAGGATCCCCCTCACGTCATTTGAAATGAGCAGGGCCATAGTGCGGCCGGTCCTAATTTTCCACATTCGAAAAATTTGCTCTGCAAATGACCCAACTGGGATTACGCACAGCGGCACCGACCTGACCGTGAAAACTCCTGCAGACTGACACGTGGCGCCTTCGCCGTTGCCTTACACAATATAGGAACGCGTGAAATTGTTTTCTTCTTGGTTTTTTTTCGGTAAAGTCACGTAGGATGGAAATAAAATAATACAAATAAAACATAATGAAATGAAATTCTCACGACGTTTCGGCCACAACACAAGTAGCCTTCTTCAGGTGAAGAAACAGGTCTGTCCAAAAGACCTGTTTCTGTCCAGAAGACCTGTTTCTTCACCTGAAGAAGGCTACTTGTGTTGTGGCCGAAACGTCGTGAGAATTTTATTTTTATTATTTTATTTCCATTCTACGTGGCTTTACCTAAAGAACCAAGAAGATGAATCCCTGCAGTCACGAAAGCTTTAAATCGAAATTTAATGTGTTAAATTATCATGCAGTTGTGTTTTTATGTATTCGCGATTGTTTTTCCCGCATTTCATAACACAATGGTATGGAATGCCATATGTTCTGAATGTATGTTGATGGGGATATATGTCCTGTATTGCAGAGTATGCCAAGTTGTAAAACCAATCTGATGAATAACCAGTTGCACTGATGAAAAGCCTCTTGTATTTTCTGCTTGTGAATGTGCAAATAAATCTTTGGTGTATTAAATCTCTGGGTAATGGTACAGAAGGTACATATAGAGGCGTATTAAAACAAAATAGTCTTAATCAAACCACTAATCGGTTTGGAAACGTGTACATGGATAGGATGATGATGATTATTAAATTGACTGGTCCAGTTTGGTTCTCTGCTGTGAAACTGTCGTGTGATTGTGCAGGTTTCAAACCAACGTCGTTGTGTCACGCTGTCCATCGTGCGGGTGTAATTGATCTCTAAATTGGGGACATTAACTCACGTGGAATAAAAAAAAAGGGTCTAAATTATAGAGCACGACAAGCCACGGAAATGAGAATGGCCTTGAGCCTCCTTCCTTATGCCCATTACCAGCCTGAACAGAGTTTTGGCCTCACCTAACCCTCAACCACAATGCATTAAATTATGGATGCAGAAAGGCAGTGTGCGCCTTTACAGACTGCTGGTTGTAGACTCGCGATATATTTTGACTTCACATTTGAAAAGTTAAACTCTTTTGCTCGTGAAAAACACACACACATCTGTGCACAGTAATCCTGTGAGGGTTTCAGTGTGTAAGCATTCCCATTTCACATATGTGCATAATTTTAGGCAATCAAGGATGTCTTTTGCCAAACCAATGGCCTGGTATATGCCTGTAAAGGGAAGAACCATATGTTACCAATAGCCATGAACTCCTTGATTATATAAGCCGTTAAAATTGAGAACTATACAAATATTAAACAATATCAGTATATATTCTTTGGGTCTTTCGGTAAAGTCACGTAGATAGGTTCAAAGAAAATAACAAAAACAACGTTTCGACCGCTTGTGTTGCAATCGAAACGTCGTAGTTTATTTTCTTTGAACCGATTTACGTGACTTTACTGAAAGACCCAAAGAATATGAATTCCTGCAGTCACGAAAGCTTTAAGTCAATACCAGTACACTACACGCAATAGAACGTAATTATGATTATACAGTATGTTGTTTTGCAGTAGTGTTTATATATTAACTTTCCCCAATGTTAAATTACCAAACATACACATATGGACTTTGGGTAAACTCTGTTTCCATTGGCAATCCGAAGTCCGTCCGGCAAATTTAACGTTCATGTCAGGGATAAGTCTTTCCAAAGGATAGCCACTGTTGATTTTGACGAGGTTATGTTCATTTTGGTACGTTTGTTGATTTCTTTTCTGGGTTGTTTATGGCTGGAATTAGAATTCTTAGTGCTCTGCCAAAGTGAAAACAGTAGTTGCCCACGCCAGACACGAAAGACTTATCCCTACTTGCTTCTATTGCTGGACTGTGCTACACACAGCCGAAGCAGTCTTCATCAGCGGTTGCTCCTTTCCAGCCGACATCACCGAATGCCAATTTAAAAGCATTGCTGGCAAATCATAGGACGTCACACAGTATCATGTGACATCTGTGACTCGCTGTGATTGGCCACTAATACTTTTAAAATGCAGTCTATATAGTGGGTAGGGACACTGAGAGCCAGAGGCAGCAGAAACCCGTGCTGTGAAATTCGTTGTCTTGAGAGGGGCAACTCGTTCTGTATTCACTCCGCCATCGGTGTTTTAACATCAAGTTAAGGCCACATTTGAAACTGTTCTCATATTGCACGTGGCATATTTGAGCTGGTGGTGCCCAACTGCAAACCATCACTTTAGCAGCAGGGTCGGCGGTTCATTGACATTTCACAATCTGCTGTGGCACTACAAACCTGCTGGGCTTTAAGGCGTCCAGATAATGGATTACAGCAAAGTGACTATGTAACTGGTCTCTGGGGATATTGAGTGTTTTGCCCTCATATGCGCGATACTCTTGTTTGCACAAACTCCAGTTTCCATGTATATATAGATATATGCAAAGCATTTTAATGAATTGGTCAAACATCGCAGTATGGGTCCTCCTGAAAATAATCTCGAGATTCAGTGAGGCTTTTCTGGATTAGAACTACGTGTACTTTACTTCTATAACCACTGTAACATGTACTGTGAGGGAAACTAGTATTTGATCCTCTGCTGATTTTGTAAGTTTGCCCACTGACAAAGAAATGATGAGTCTATAATTTTAATGGTAGGTTTATTTGAACAGTGAGAGACAGAATAACAACAAAAACATCCAGAAAAACGCATGTCAAAAATGTTATAAATTGATTTACATTTTAATGAGGGAAATAAGTATTTGACCCCCTCTCAATCAGAAAGATTTCTGGCTAGCAGGTGTCTTTTATACAGGTAACGAGCTGAGATTAGGAGCATACTCTTAAAGGGCATGCTCCTAATCTCAGCTTGTTACCTCTATAAAAGACACCTGTCCACAGAAGCAATCAATCAGATTCCAAACTCTCCACCATGGCCAAGACCAAAGAGCTCTCCAAGGATGTCAGGGACAAGATTGTAGACCTACACAAGGCTGGAATGGGCTACAAGACCATTGCCAAGCAGCTTGGTGAGAAGGTGACAACAGTTGGTGTGATTATTCGCAAATAGAATAAACACAAAAGAACTGTCAATCTCCCTCGGCCTGGCGCTCCATGCAAGATCTCACCTCGTGGAGTTGCAATGATCATGAGAACGGTGAGGAATCAGCCCAGAACTACACGGGAGGATCTTGTCAATGATCTCAAGGCAGCTGAGGCCATAGTCACCAAGAAAACAATTTGTAACACACTACGCCGTGAGGGACTGAAATCCTGCAGCGCCCGCAAGGCCTCCCTGCTCAAGAAAGCACATATACATGTCCGTCTGAAGTTTGCCAATGAACATCTGAATGATTCAGAGGACAACTGGGTGAAAGTGTTGTGGTCAGATGAGACCAAAATGGAGCTCTTTGGCATCAACTCAACTCGCCGTGTTTGGAGGAGGAGGAATGCTGCCTATAACCTCAAGAACACCATCCCAATCGTCAAACATGGAGGTGGAAACATTATGCTTTGGTGGTGTTTTTCTGCTAAGGGGACAGGACAACTTCATCGCATCAAAGGGACGATGGACGGGGCCATGTACCGTCAAATATTGGGTGAGAACCTCCTTCCCTCAGCCAGGGCATTGAAAATGGGTCGTGGATGGGTATTCCAGCATGACAATGACCTAAAACACACGGCCAAGGCAACAAAGGAGTGGCTCAAGAAGAAGCACATTAAGGTCCTGGAGTGGCCTAGCCAGTCTCCAGACCTTAATCCTATAGAAAATCTGTGGAGGGAGCTGAAGGTTCGAGTTGCCAAACGTCAGCCTCCAAACCTTAATGACTTGGAGAAGATCTGCAAAAAAGAGTGGGACAAAATCCCTCCTGAGATGTGTGCAAACCTGGTGGCCAACTACAAGAAACGTCTGACCCCTGTGATTGCCAACAAGGGTTTTGCCACCAAGTACTAAGTAATGTTTTGCAGAGGGGTCAAATACTTATTTCCCTCATAATGCAAATCAATTTATAACATTTTTGACATGCGTTTTTCTGGATTTTTTTGTTGATATTCTGTCTCACTATTCAAATAAACCTTCCATTAAAATTATAGACTGATCATTTCTTTGTCAGTGGGCAAACGTACAAAATCAGCTGGGGATAAAATACTTTTTTTTTCCTCACTGTACAGCTTTTGCAAACCGTATGCCACTGTGGTTATAGTTCCAGAATGTTTCAGGGGTCAAATCCTGGCCAGCCTACCAGCTCTGGACGAACAGGCCCCCCCCCCCCATCACAATGATGTGGAATTAGTCCCACAGGCTCAGGGTCACCAAAAGAGATGAGTCCCTTCCCCATGCTCATTTGAACATGGAGACGACGTACATGACTTTTGATTTGTGTAAATATCTCGTGTCCACTTCCTTGAATGAAAGACCTGTAATTAGTAATTATTTTTTGACAACTGATAAGTAACAATGCGTCTGTTGTCCTTTTTTTTCTTCTATAGATGTGCAGACACCTGATGATTTAACGTTTCCTGAAGACTCTTCAAATACTCCTGGTAAGGCAGCTGCCACGGTCGTTTACTTACGGAGAAGTTGCATCACTCCTGACAAAACATCCTTGAAACTCAAGACGATAGCATCAACATATGCTCCTTCCCAAACATAAACACTCGTCTAACACTCTCATTAAGAAATGTTATTAAAAAGCGGTGACATTCTTTGTTGATGTTCCCCCCCGCTGTGATTTAATTCGCAACATAAAAAAGTAGGCCCCATCACGTGACACGAAGCATGAAAAATTAATGGGAATTTACAAATCAATCACCTCAATATATCGCAGAGATTGTGCTCAAACAATACTTAAAGCATACAACAATCATTCACACTCAAACAAGTTAACGATTTAAAATCGCCAACGTTGGTGAAACTTTTTCAAGGTGCGTTTCTGGGGCTTGACTTTGTTTACACAAATCACCAGACGTGAGACACACGCCAGACGTTTGCTCATTAAACGAATCAAATGCGCAATTATGCACCTTCAGGGAACCCTTTGTTGCTGACGGCACATTTCGAGTCGGTGCTCTTGGGAGCCGCGTTTATTTCAACCGTTCGGTGGCGTTGAGCGACCCGCGAGCTGACGTTTCACGCCCCGCCGCCCTCCGTGTCAGACCCGCACTCGGGCGCCTTTGTCGAGGGCTTCGGGTGTCGCTTCGGCCGCGGCCTGCAGAGGGGAACGTGCGGCTGGCTTCAGGGAGACGACAGCGCCGCCGACCTCCGCTGGCAGGTCGGGACCTGCCACAAGGGCCCCAGCCACGATCACAGCTCAGGCGAGTGCCACGATGCAACATCAGCAGTCGCTACTGTTCCCCCTAGTAGCGGCAGTAGTAGACTTGTATTTAAACCAGCATGCGGAAAATGAACTCGTTATTGACGGTGTGAAACAGTGGTCGAATTCGTAAGGGTGTACCCTGGGTTCAAAATTGCAACTTTGATTAAACAGCAAACACACACAGCGTGTGAACGAAGCATCAATGTGTATTTATGCTGGAGAAATCCGATGAGCTATGAAGATATTTTTCACATGTCCAGTTACAACAACAAACGACACAGACACACAACAGGAGTGCAAAGTACAAGAAAGGTAAACATATCACCAAAAAACATCAACCATCCCCATCCTACCAGGCAAAACCCACTGAGGTATTAACTCAAATGTAACACAAATGTTAACAACAAATGAGAAAGGTGAAAGTGTGCTTTCAATTTACAATCAGAAACAGAGTGAAGCATTTACCCAAATAGTACATTATATTTAAATACATAAACAAAATGGAGCTGAGATGTTAGTAAAGGTTAACACACAATCTGCCCGTGTCTTTATGAAATGTTATTTTAACCAAAGAGGTAATCTCATTTAGAATGCTCGGATATGTTTGAGATATTACCAAATACTGAACATGACTTGGCTTGCATATTTTAAAACCTTCAATCTCCATAAATAGCTCATGATGTAAAAAACAATGTGATGCCAATTTTATCTTCCAATGAGAATGTTCATTCTTGCATCATTACCGAACTAATTAATGAGATATTTTTTTTTAAAAACCGCCACCATGTATACACATAAACCAAAATAAGCACGCGTCACACCCTTCGCATTATCACCGCGTTCTTACAAAAATACTGCCCACATTGTGGTAGACTAATGTCTCAGATAGTGGCCATCCTTAAAACCAGATGTAGGGAGCAATCAGAATTATTGACTAGGCTCAAAAGAAAGATGTCTCTGGTGTGGACCAATCAGTTTCAAAGACAATGCATGTATTATCAGAGTTCTTTTTTGCATTTTTGCATTCTGACCACAAGTATTGTGGTTAATGCAAACATGATTCCTTGTAAAAGGTTTCAGTTTGGTGTTTTAACATCTTAACACCTGTTTTGTTGTCAGAAAAAAGGGTAAAACCTATTCTCAGTCAGAATTAATTTGTGTTCTCATGCAGTGTTATGAAACACTGAGACGCTTTGGAGACATCTGACAATTGAAGGCACTCCAGTTATTTGAACGAGACGGGTAACAATGCCCTGTGCACGATTCAATGTAAATATGATTCAAAAGATCGATTTTCGATTCAAATACTTTTTGGTAACAATGCGGCGCAAGTAGCGGCCTCTGGTGGCTTTGGGGACAATGTAATCCTATCACATACAACATGTAGGAATTAAGAAGAATAATTTCTCGCGCAAGAAATCTCATATGCACATCCCAAGATGTTTTCGGGGCGGGCAGTGACGAGATATGTACTACCTCGCAATGTATACAGGAGGTCGTGGGTTCGATCTCGACCCTGATGCCTGCTGTATATTTGGAGTTTTCATGTCTCTCTCCCCCTGGTCACATGCATTTTACTCCGGGTCTTCCGGTTTTTCCCTCCACATTTATAAACATGCGTTTAGAGTATTTAGCTGCTATACATTTCCACATGATAAAAGCCATAGTTGAGTTTATTTTTACATCAACCTTTGATTCGATGGACTGTTACACTCCTAACATGAGGAGTGAATATTAAAAAAAACCTTTTAATTATTGAACATCATCTGCAGCATTGGTCAATTCACTGCTGGATGAAGGCCTGGCCCAAGCCATTGCTATCTCTCATGATTCTGCAATGTATTAATCCACCGCGCACTTGAACACATGCTGATTCTGTCACTCCATCTCCTTGGTGGACTTCTCTCTTCTATCCCTGAGCTGACACGTCATTGTTATTCGTGAACATAACATTATAACAACAACAAAGACTCGCCAATTTACTTACAGTTTAAAACTGACAAAAAATGTTTGCGTAAGTTTTATATTCCTTCATGTATATAATTTGAATGTAGCGAGTTTTTTTTTTTAACAAGGACAAAATACGTAAAAATCATGGACCATACAGTAACTGTACAGTATTCTTAGCTCTTTCGGTAAAGTCACGTTGAAGGGAAACAATAAAATAATAAAATATATATAAAACAATAAAAATTCTCACGACGTTTCGACCATAACACAAACGGTCATCATCAGGTGTTGGTTTTCACACCTGATGATGATCGTTTGTGTTATGGTCGAAACGTCGTGAAAACCAACACCTGATGATGACCGTTTGTGTTATGGTCGAAACGTCGTGAGAATTTTTATTGTTTTATATATTTTTTATTATTTTATTGTTTCCCTTCAACGTGACTTTACCGAAAGAGCTAAGAATATGAATTACTGCAGTCACGAAAGCTTTAAATCAAAATTCAACTGTTCAGTGTTATACATATCAGACATAATGCCGCCCTCTAGTTGTTTACAGGTCGTGCCGTGCATTGCTCTGCACGATGTCCAACGTTTAGCTCCACGAGCTGTGAGCAAACAACACGCGGCACAACCCGAAGACACATCGGACACCGATATAGCAGCGTTCATTGAAGCTCTGACGTCCCGACAGTTCTGTTCCTTCACCTGAAGAAGGCTACTTGCGTTGTGGCCAAAACGTCGTGATTTTTGTTGTTTTATTTTTTTACCTACGTGACTTTACCGAATAGAACCAAAGAGTATGGCCGCAACAGCCACGGACACCTACGCGACGTCGATATTTTTTTTATTTTCATTAAACGTTTCTGGCCCAAAAAAAAAATAATCGAGAATCCACCAAATTGCCACATCCACGTTGTAATAATATAACCCCAATTTTGGTCCCTTCCTTTCTTTCAGGTCAAGGGAACTACGCATTCGTAGAAGTGTCAGAGAGGGACGAACAGGGTGCCGCGAGGCTGCTCAGCCCCCCCGTGACCCCACACAGCACTTACCGGTGCCTGCAGTTCTGGTACCACATGAGCGGCGGCATCGACAGCCAGCTGTCTGTCAACGTGCGCACACAAACGCCGATGGGCCTGCAGGACGAGACGCTGTGGAGCCTGTCTGGAGAGCAGCCAGCATCAAGCTGGCAGGAGGCGCGCGCCATCCTGCCGCAACACGCCACCCCTTACCAGGTGCCCTCCTTCCCCGCGTGCGCTGCTCCGAGCGCTCAGCAAGCCGAAGGTGTCGAGCGGTGTGTTGTCTTCTTCTTTGGTTCTTTCGGTAAGGTCACGTAGAATGAGAATAAAATGATAAAACAACACAGTAAAATTCTCACGACGTTTCGGCCACAACGCAAGCGGCCATTTTCAGGTGAAAGGTGCAGAACTGTCGGGACGACGGCCGCTTGCGTTGTGGCCGAAACGTCGTGAGAATTTTATTGTGTTATTTTATTATTTTATTCTCATTCTACGTGACTTTACCGAAAGAACCAAAGAGGATGAACCCTTGCAGTCACGAAAGCTTTAAATCGAAATTTATCGGTGTGTTGTTGTTAGGTCGACTCGGCCCCAAGTGAGTACCTGGTGCAGTGTGTAAACATCGCCACAAGGGAGACAAAGGCGGCCTCGCGTGGCGCTGGCAAACCCACCCCCTCATGTGCCGATGTATGCGGGGGAATTTTGCCTTTGTTGATTCGACCTGGCTCAGCTTGGGCAGATTCTATTGATTTTTTTTTACATTTCTTCACGCAAACATACGTTTGCTGTTTTCATTAATTAGTGTTCTGACTTAACGGAAGTTACCACAGGTCAGTGGAAAGGGTTTCGAGTAGGTCACGAACTCAAGGGAATTATCCCCGAGTTCAGCCCAGCCCAGCCCAGCGCAAAAAAAATATTGCAAAGCATTGGCCAGTGTTAGCAAACACAGAGACCCAAGTAAACACAATCGTATCCACAGCTGTCTGCTAATTATATTTGGGACTTGCTCCAAACAACGACACATGTGACAAATATGTGACCGCCTAATGGGAAATGCAAATTCGCTGTGATTTTGGATGATTTTTTCCCTCCCCTGTAGCCGAACAGTTGTGTTTCCTGGTATAAACATTTGATAGATATGTGATTCATTTAATAATTCATTGCATTTTAGTAATGGTATATTTTTTGTTGTTGTCATGGTATATCATTCTATCACCGTTACTCTTATTCTTTCATTAATCACCAGTCTATATTCGTAGGTTACGCAAATATCGGGATGCAAAAAAAGAAAAAGCTTAATTTATATATTAGTAGGCGATCCACAATACTCTCATTTAATATCATGGAATGCATTTATATTGTGGGCTTTTGTTATTTTTATAACCTGCAATATTTAGTTTGATATGGAACAATTTGAATACAGCAGCTGCCTCGTCATTTGTACAGGGAATTGTTAATTTCATCTGCCATCTGTAATGATATGGATGTTAAAGACCCTGGTATCATTTACAACGTAGCCCATTGCTTGCAGCTTCTAAGCCAAACCTCCAATGTTTAAACACATTAGCGGCAACTACGGTACATTTTAAGAATTATTCTTTTGAAACCATGGTTAATGTCTCTGTCACATGCAAAATAATTCATCTCAAATGTTCCTTGTATGGTTAAATAATACATATTGACTGAATATTATCGCTCTGGATATACCACTCTATATTTGAAAATGTTGCACGCTAATATAGTTCATTATGATTACAAAGAAAACCATTATGACGGAGTACTCGAATGTGACATGTAAAATTGCAACCAACGCAACAAAGGCTCATGATCGGTGCCCGCAGGTCATCCTGGAAGGAAAGATGGGTGACGGGCACAATGGGTGCTTAGCTGTTGACGATGTGAAGTTCAACGACAAAATCCCTCTCATGCACTGCCTGAGTAAGTACCCCATATAGTGGTCACACATTCTAAATAAGCACTGACTATATAGCTATCTGCAAGAAAATTTACAAAAAATATACTCCAAAATTCATGTTCGTTTGACTTTTACAGAAGTTATGGAAAGAACAAAACACAGTATTCAACTGTTTCATTTGCAAAAGTAGGATATTAATTTTTTCATACGAAGGAATTCAAAACTAAGGACAGATGTAGCATACATTTTAGCGGACGTGCTTTTTGGTAGTAGCCCAAACCCTCTACATTTCCTCCGCTTCTTCATGTAAACTCTCAATGAACTGAATTTCCTGGACAGCTGTTACCATTTTCCCAAAGGGACACATCCATATTATATTAGATTACACACTTTAAACCTCAAATTATCAATATTTAGCATTCACAAAACTGAAATTACATCCCAATTGCAATTGTTTAGATTGTGTCCATATGCCTCGATTCACAAATGTGTAAATTGATCAAGGCACCTTTCCTCTTACAGAGCCTTTCAATGCCTTCCCAGGGGTGCTTGGTCTGCCTCCAGGTAGGACACTGTTGTGTTTCATTATTGCTCAGTTTCCTCTTGTGTCTAGCTCCTGAGAGAAAAGAAGCCATTCGAGTGCTAACATGTTGCAGTCCCCTTTTGTACGGTGTCTAATGAGAATAAACGTGATGGGATATTTTCGAATGTATAATCAGCCACTCGTCTGCACTGCTGCTCATGCGATGTCGCGTCCAGAGCAGCCTCCGAGGACCTAAGGCAGGCACTGATCCACCATTCCTGCTGTGAGGGAAATCTCGCCCCTTCCACTGCCATCGCATTCACAGTCGTTTCATTGAATTGGGGGCAGGAGGACTGAATTGGCACTTGCGATTTTAAAATGTTTCAAACAGGCTTAGAGGCGGAGCGAGCACTATATTTGACGCGTGAATTCACGTTTGCAAAACGGTGCGATGCGTCTGTTGTATGTAAGCCAAAAGTGCAGGCGAGCACTACCGTATGAAGATATGAGCAGTTGAATATGCAGTGCTTATGTCGATTTTTTTTAATTTTCCTACAAAAAAATCACGAGCGGTTAATTGTTTTTTGTGAACTTTAAATCATGTCGTACGGGTAGTTGGTTTATGAATGCTCTTCAGTACTGTACACATGTTTATACACATTTCCAAATTAAATAATTGTGGCAAGAGCAAAAGGATTGGAAGAAACTTTTTTTATTTATTCAGGGACTTCCGCTTTTTATTAAGAATTAAAAAAACCTCACAACAATTTGTTTTGTGGCATTCAATTTTTCAGTGATTCGAGTCATAAATAGCATGCCATTGTTTACAAACAATCGAGCGGAATAAAATAGAATTGATCATGCGTGCACATGCAGCAGATGGCATACATTCCTGTGAAAAATAACACCGGCATTCCAACTCAGAAACACTGGCTCCCCCAAGCTAGAGGGTGGTGTTGCCAAAATTATGAGTTTTGAATTCGCCTTCTGCGCGCTTCGCCTCATATTCTCTTCACTCTGCTGGCTACCGTGACACAGTGTGTGTGTCATCATATAGCCTGGGCCTTACGGGGCTCACCTTGAGAACAGAGAGGTTGGGCTTGGAAAAGTCAAGCAAGCACACTTTTAGCAATGTCACTTTAAGAAGATGGCGACCCACTTGAACGCCAGAATTTTCGTCCCGGAAAGTACACGTTTTACAATGATGAGGCTTCGCAATCAACTTGACACCCAGGATGCAGAGCACAAGTATGCATCTACAAAATACTGTAATACCCAAACGTGGTTTATTTCGATGGCATTGGCAGTGGTTTGCAGAAGTCCGCACGGACTAAAAAAAAACAAAATCTCTCCAAATAACATAACTCTACAAAACATCTCTGAAGAAAACATTTTCTTCAGGCAATGGCATGTAACGTAAGCGCGTTAAATACTTTATCTCGTTTTAAAAGACAGCGCTACTGACATTGTTTCTTGGGCTGCCTTCCATGAAAAACAAAATCGGTCACAGCGATGATGCAAAGGATCCTTAGGCAATTCTTTTCTATGGGTTTATCTCCGTTTCAGGATTTCCTGGAAATGTTGAAGATGACACGGAGCTGATATTGGACGAATATGATGATATGTACGAGGTTAAATATGATAACAAGACTTCAACAAGTTGGCCCCCAGGTAAACAATATTTTCACTTTGCATCCCTTTTTGTAGAATACTAGCAACATACCTGTGAGAGGGAGAAATTCTGTGTTGCTCATATCTGGTACAAGCAGATTGCGCAAATGGATTGCGTCTGAAGCTTTGCGTGTTTCCGGTTTTGTAAAATGCAGCATTTCCCCGTATAATGCTCAACGCAAAATGTACACATTTCCAAGTCAATCTTTGTTTAATAACTAATGTCTGTGTTTCACGTAATAGACATGCCTGTCTGTACGAACAAAAAGAAATATAAGGCTTGCCTGAAAGCATGTAGTTACCTAGCAACAGTTTTACTGTAGTTTTTAGGTCAAAGCTCAACCGGATTTTTTTTTTACATTAAGACTGAGCCAAATAAAAGATTTATAGACTTCAATACTATGAGCGTGTTTATAACAATGTTTTTTTTATATATTCTGCTGAGAATTAACACAGCAAGTGCAATCTACATCTTTATGTCTCATCATGCGGGGTATGTTTCGATGTGACCAGCTCCATTGTGGTTAAGCGTCGGCAATATTTCATTTGAAATTGGTGTGTTTCCATCTTTGAAAAATGGGGACTTAGATAATCATGTGAGCCCTGAATAAAGGGTACATAATTGGAATCAGTGTCATAGTTTGATTCATAATCACTTTCATGTTCATCGACTTTTATAAACAATTAAATCATGAAGGTGCCTTTTTGTGAATTTTTTTGCAGAGCAGCAATTTTGCTCGTGTTGACCTCCTGAGATATGATTGTACCCTTTCATCCAAAAAGCAGTCTCGGAGAGAAGCACTGCCTACATAATTTATGATGGAATACATCAAGATTCCAGTTTGCAAACATTACTTTTATAATGGGAGTTATCACAAAGCAGACTTCCCCTTCTGAATAAAAATAAAATATCTTGAGGAAAACTAATTTCACGCCTTTGTCCAAAAGGACAGTTCCATTTCCATTTGTCTCTGATCTAGAGGCAATTCGAGCCCATTCTCATTATTTTTTCACGACAGTGACCATTTCTGATTTCATTTGATTATTTTACATTTTAATGATCCAAAGTTTTCCAAAATGGATTGGGGCGGGCATGCTTTAGAGAGAAAAATACCTCTTTCTAAAAATGGCAGCGTGCATATTCCTAAATTGCTGAAACGGTACATTTTTTGGAAGATGTTTATTTTCAATGATTTATTTACGTGCTACATTTTCATGCATTGAGTTAATCAAGATGAAGAAAATATCATGACAAGAATACTTCTGCCAAGTGTAGCGAGATGATGATGGTCTCAGCTCAGTCACCAGTGAGCACACACAAACGTATCGCTATAAATTATTAGTTCTGCACGTGCTTTGGCCAAATTAAAACGTCAATTTAACTGTTATTCCAACAAACAGTACTCTTACATGCAGAGTGAGGCCATCTGCTGGTTGGATCAGTGGTCACTTGAAGGGGACCTCAAGGGTAGCTCTGTGAAAATTGATTCCATGGGCTGTTAACACGAAGGGGAGCACTCACTGCTGGCTGTGACAGAACGGAATGGATTCTTAGTCTCATCACATGACATGACACCGATAGCACCAACAGGATTAAATTGTTGTGCAAAATGACATGAAATTAGCAAACTCGAATGGGGCTGTATATATTTTTGGCAGGCATTTTCAACATGTTGAGTATCTGGTCAGAGTGCACAAACGTGCTGTGGACTAAGGAACTCATGTTATTCCGTGACCATGTTCCATTGCACATAAGCTCACCAAGCGCAAGCCACCATTAGGGAATGTGGCTTCCTTTGACTCCAAAAATCAATTCTATAGCTCAAACCAAGCACCAAATGACTGTTATTTGTTTCACGCCACGACAAAAAAAATCTGCAGAAGTGTCTGGGTCTTGAGTGACAAAGAGGGTAAGGTTGCCGTTAATGATTGGTTTTTGCGACCGAGTGTAAAAAAATATAGATATTTTATACAGAGACAGCCTCAATTAAAGTGGGAGATATGAAGGCAGAAGGTGGATTCTATTGAAGAGAAGCAATGGCTTTATTGTATTTGAAATATATATGGTAGATTGCATTTTTTATGGTTTGTACAATAATAAAATAATGTAAAAAAAATCACGGCCCATTGTAAATCCACTGCTGGATGAAGGCCTTCCCATGCTGTATCAGTCATGAGGATGAATTAACCATACTTCACCACGATGTTCAGCGTGGTTTCCTATAAACAGATGAGGCGTCACTGTTTCCGTATTCCGTATCAGTACAATAATGATCTCTTTGGAAAAATTGTAAATCAATATTATAACAAATTTATATTACCACAATACTACGCTTACAAGATAATATCACATACTTTATGTTTTTTCTATTAACTTTGCAATGTACTTTATCTCGAATTATACGTTGACCGAAGCCGATTAGGGCACGTGTTTACAGAACAATCCACCTTAAGTGTCTCTGAAATACAATGTCTGAATAATACGTTTCAAATTCGAGTTAAGAGTATTTTGCTTTAATTCTCACGTTTCCCAAACTCACATTGGCATTACCACATCAGTAACCACAATCAACATAAACAACCTAGGCTCTCCATGCATTGTCTTCCATGATGAACACAATCCCTTTTTTATATTCTTAGCTCTTTCGGTAAAGTCACGTTGAAAGGAAACAATAAAATCATAATATATATAAAACAATAAAAATTCTCACAACGTTTCCACCATAACGCAAACGGTCATCATCAGGTGTGATGATGACCGTAAAATACAATCCCTTTTCATAACACTTTTTAATTCATGAAACCATCATAAAACTTACCAACGTCTACACCAGTGGACTTAGAACGTGTACATTAGACGTGCCACAAGCTAGGGTGACTCTCCTACCTGTAACAACAAAAGATCAACGCTTGCTTGTTGGGTTCAACTGGTCAGGAGCCCACTGCGAGTGGCCTCATGCTGCCAACTACTGCCAGCAGGACCTAAACACTGTAGCAGTGCAAAGTTATATCAGTGGTCAGTGATGGCCACTGCACATGAATCGTACACCCACTACTCTATTATACACTCCTTTGTCAATCTATTGCTGGATAAAAGCCTGTCCATGCCGTGTTGGTTATGGAGATTTGTTTTGTCAATACTTCCCCATGGCTGATCAGTGCATGACAAGGAGGCCCTAAGACCGGTTCAAACAATCGCCACTTATGTTGGCCTCTGCCAGGAATTTAACTCTGCTCACCGGTTTCCAAGCGAATTGACGCAAATCCACTGTGCCACCGCTCCACACATGAACTTGATGTGGCAACATTTTCTCATCTTAATGGTGACAAATCTGAAATTCCGATGATTGATTCTCGGTGTTAAATACGCTCAACGGTGAAGGACCAAAGCTTCATCTGCAGTGATTGTACAGCGCATTTACAACATTGATAGTTATACAAATCTAGTTTTTCTTGATGGTTTACAAAATCACTTAACAAGTAGCTATAAAGCAATTTGTGACAAATATAAGGCAATAATATAATCCGAGGGATCTTGGCTTTGCCATGGAAATGTTAAAATGCCACGTTTTACCAAAGCAATCTCTGGATTTCTTAGTGGTGTCTCGGACGCACAATAAAGCATTTGCCACACAAGAATCGCCGCTGACCACAAGAAGCGCATCAAATAAAACAAAAAATAGTTTCTTCATTTTAAATTCATATGCCAGAGCAGACAATATACAATGATTCAAAACGTTCCCATTTGGGCACATTTGTAAGTTGCTTTTAATTTCAAGTAAAATTTTACAAAACCACTCCGACCCACTCTCACCTTGCCTGTGCAATAGTTGGCACACTTTTACACACACTCTGTTGTGCTTTCCAACTGTGTCCTTCCTTTTGTCCAGTGAACATGTTTAAGCTCAACTCTGCAGCCTTCATTGTTTAGTTCTTCAATAATTTCGGAAAATATTAGATGGTTAAAACTTTATAATGACGGCTTAGGGTGATGTTGATAATGATCGTATTTAAAATAGTGATGATGATGTTGATGGTGGTGGAGGTGATAATGATGGTGGAGCTTGTGATGGTAGTGGCAATGGGGGTTTTTGTCATCATGCTTCTTGTGATGATAAACATTTCGGTACATTTTTAAGATGGTGGTGAAGGTGATGGTAGACATCACATACGTCATTAAGTTGTTGAGCATGGTGATAGTGTAAATAGTGGTGATGGTGGTGAAGATGTTGATGGGTACTACGTTCTCCGCTGTGACATGAATCGGATGTGTGGATAGTGACCGAGCTAATGAAACGAAAACTCAAAAATGCACCAAGGAACGTGGTCAGATTAATGCAGGGAATTATCCGGAGAGACAGGAATAACAACAACACATGGATTTGAGAACAAATGCAAACCAGAAACATCGTCTTCTATGGGTCTTTCGGTAAAGCCACGTAGATATAAAAATAATACAAATATCAGATATTTATATTATTTTATATCTACGTGGCTTTACCGAAAGACCCATAGAATATGCATTCCTGCAGTCACGAAAGCTTTAAGTCAAGACAGAAACATCGTGTTGCCTGCAGCGAAAAGTGCGCTTGTGTAGGACACCACGAGAACGATGATGGTCAGTGGACAAAACTGGCGAGGGGATGGCTGCCAAGAGAGAACACGCCTAAGAGGACAACCACCATGGAGATATATATATAGAGAGAGAGCTATGAGATTAGCTTATGTGTAAGAGCAAGATGGTTTTATGGTGTCACAGGACATTGACAGATATGTAGCCACAACTTGGAGAGGCCTTCATCCAGCAGAGTATTGATGCATCACTGTTGTTGTTGTTGTTGATGATGAGTCTATTTATTTGTGTGGCGTCCAGGTTGTATTGCACCTACTGTGGAGATACTTTCATTGGCAAATTTCCAGATGTGACTACTAGATTGAGACTTGGGGTCTTATTTTTATATTTATAAAACTATTTTATTCACCAGGTAATGCCCACTGAGTGATGCTCTGGCAACACGTTACAGCTCATCAAAGTGGCTTATATCATCACGCGTGGGAATTTATAACAGCAGCCAAATAATCTAAAGGCATGTTGATTCCAAATGTGGAGGGAAAAACCAGAGGACCCGGAGAATAATCGACACAACCACCACAGAGAGAGAGAGAGAGAGAACACGCAAACTCCAAATATTGTATGCAGGCATCGTCATGGTAGGAGATTAAATCCATGACTCATGCCGACCAGGAGAGAGAGATAACATCTCCTCACCACCACAGCGCAAATACAGTTTTCAACAATCCACGCTCAAGACCGTTTCTCTGCACTTGCACTGATGTCCCCCGTCTATGCAGTGATTTAAATTGCACCTCACTTAAAACATATATAAGCACCTATCTTTTGTTCTCATAATGCGCGTACAGCCAGTTTAGTTTTTTCGTTTGTACACAAGTTGCATTAGACCCTGCATAAATTCAAACTGTAATTGAAAAAATGGGACGAATTATTACTCGGATTTTATCGGTGTTTTTTCTTCCTCTTTTTAACACACCTCTGATAACACCTGAACCAGGCTGCCGATGACCGAATGGATTACAACACGTCGTCCGCTGGTCTGAGCGACAGAGGCATGTTCAGTGCCGCCGTTAATAGCTTGATCTCAATTCATTAATGGAATTCTTCTTCGTTTGTAACCATGCCAAATTAAGAGGCTGCTCTGCAAAAGGTCAACAGTGGTTGCTTATGGATATATATATCGGTTATCCTTTTTTGCATGAACTAAAAATGTGGAATATCAACAACTGCCCTAACGTTCTCGCAGAAGAAAAAGTTGTGTTTTTGGAGGGGTGGTGGGGATGGTAATCACCTGGGCATGGCACTAGCTTGTCCCGTGAGAGCTGGTAGGTTTAATGTCTCAGAGTTGTGCGCTACAAGACGTCTTGACTCCATGGTCTTGGTGGTGTTATTGCACCGCCGGTCATGACACTCACGCTGAGTACCCCATGACTCCGGATTCTTGCTGGTAATGTTTGCTCTGCAGTAATACAGTATAAAGTTATTACATAACGATGCGAGTTCAACTCTTGGAGAGCTGAATGGGGTTCAAAGTTAAGTCACAAACAAACACCTTGTTGTGAAAGACCCAACGCCGAAGATCCCGGGGTTTGATCTTCTACGAAGCCCATAGTCCACTCTAAACTACTTCCACTGCACACACCATGGAAGCAGATGCGGATACCTGATGCACAAAATGTACAATTAAAAACTCTCCAGTGTGCGACTGTGGTCATCCAGAAGGGACCGTACAATGTATAATGAAACAATGCCCGATCCATTCATTTCGCTGCTCCTGACGCGATCATCTGGCCTGACCACCCGAATGTGAAATTGTAGTTGTTGCTCTGCATCTACGTTAGCCATACGAAATAAGAATATTACATCTAATTCTTGAGGGGCTGTGCCGAAGGTTGAAGTGTACACTTCACTGTTCAATGCACAGTGCTGCCAATAAATATGGGCTCTCCCCTATGCCCATTTGAGCAGAGGGACACTTCAACTCGACATTTAAGAATCCAAATTTAAAATTGCATGCAACGGTCTACTCACAAATAATCCACTACTGTATGCAGTATTTGTTTAAATTTTTTTACATTAAATGAGTGAATGAAATCTCCCAAAGCCCGTGTTGGTTATGGGGGTTGTTTGAGCGTACTTCACTACGCCTGTCATTGCGAGTTGATGAAGGGGAGGCCAACAACCAGTTAGGTTATCACTCGCCAATAATATTATCCGTGGCTGGGAATCGAACTCAGGTAGCAGGGTCCGTTTCACAGTGCCTCACCACCGCTGCATCCCCCTGTAACAATAAGTAAATTACTGAATGTGTTAAAACTAGGGGGGATAATCAAACTAAAAACTAAGCTAAACAATGTTTTTTTTTATTTTACCAGGTAATGCCCACTGAGCTGTTTAACTCTTTTTTTCAGAAATGACCTGGCCACAAACGATAGCTCAACGAAGTGGCTTATCACGTGAAAATGTATTGCAGCCAAATTCTAAACGCATGTTTCTAAATGTGGAGGGAAAAACCGGATGACCCGGAAAAAAATCCACGAAACTACGGGGAGAGAGAACATGCAAACTACAAACATACAGGCATCAGGGTCAGGTTTGAACCCACGACCTCCTGTATACCAGGCGAGGTAGCTTATATCTCTTCACCGTGGTGCCCTGTATGGTCATTATGGCCTACCAAGACTTCGGTCATTATGACCAATGCTGTTGATGCCGCAAAAACCTCACCATTGCTTCCTTCTGCTAGATTTTGCAGCTGTTGAACAGATGACGCCTGACCTCCAAGGTTAGCATATTTACAGTCTCCATCATATGATCGATATCTTCCATTTGTTCTCTGAGTGCCCCATTTTTGTTACCTGTTGCCTCCATCCAATATGCATACCCACCCATTACAGCGTCCTCTTTCTTTCATAGCGCTTTGAATGTCAAATTACCAAGTTGTTTACCCTATCTGCTATGACAATAGGGGTTTCCCCTTTTTTCTGGCAACAAAACAGGTGTTAAGATATTAAAACACCAAACTGAAACCTTTTTTTTACAAGGAATCGTGTCTGCATTAACCACAATACTTGTGGTCAGAATGCAAACAAAAAACAGACCCTGATAATATATGCATTGTCTTTGAAACTGATTGGTCCACATCAGAGACAGCTTTCTTTTGAGCCTCGTCTCAAACGGTGTTAGACCAGAGGCCGCCAAAGGAGATCCCATGATGTAGATACCCTATCTGCTTTAGATCAATATTCCTTTACTATACAAGTTCCATACATGAAATAAGTTATTGACGTAACTTTTGCACGAAGTGTAATGCATTCAAAGTATAAGGAAATGGCAATAAAACAATATATTTTAAACTAAAGGATTTTATTTTTTTACAATTAAATAGCGATTTTACGAAGTCATTCTCATTATTAACCACATTATATGCACTGTTGGATGAAGGCCTCCATAAGCTGCCGTCTCTCATGGCCTTGTGATTCATCATGATCCTGCAAATGAGTTTTAATGCATGTTATTCAATCCACGTGTTCCTCCGTTGTTCTCACTGTAATTCCATGCATGCACCTTTCGATGCTTTTCACATTTTTTTTACCTGTAGTTGTATTAGTTATGTGTAATGCTTGCTATCCATATGTCACAGTGGGGATATTAATATACACTGATTTAAAAAATGTAATTCTTGAGGCACATCGGCCACTGTATTTTCATTACAGTTTTTACAAATTTAATCCAGCCTGCACTTGTCTTCCTCTTTATGTAAGAACTGTAATTTCGGACCACTTTCTAGAACTGCCCTGGCTATGAAATTATTCTTACGCGATTTCCATCTGAGGTTGTTTAACAAACTTTTTGTCCGTGACTTTGGTGGACAATTTAACAAAAAATGGAACAGCTACACTTGGATTGCATGCAGAAAGTATCAAAGCACATGACAGAGCGATTCGTACAAAAAGCAACGTGCTTACATCAACGTTGTCTGCATGGCATCAGAAGACGTTTCTGAAATTGGAGGGATAAGGGCATGAAGGTAAATGGAGAGACAATGTTAATTATCTCAGACTTGTTGAAGACATTGCCATTATGAGAGCAAATAGAACTGCTTGATGGGAATTGATTTAAGAGCTTAGTAAACATGGATGCAAAGTTGGGCTCAAGATTAAAATGAGCAGAACAAATGTCACGTACAATATTTCTGAACAATTTATACGACATTTATCTCTAAATTGCATGCCTTATGAAATGGCATTGGTTTGTTGAAACGTGTCCAAAAATGTAGATTAAGAAAACGAAATACTTACTCAAATTATATCTCTACATTAATGTGACATTGTGCTAAGCAACACAATATTAACTTAATTAATTATTGTGACATTTATTTTTACGTTGCGCATTTGCTTTTGATCAAAGCTGAAATTAACGTTTTAAAATCTCCAATTGCACATTTGTCGAGTTAGAGGATTTTCCTCGTTATTAGATTTAGAATATGCTCCGTGACCTCTAAAGCAAAGACAGTGGGGTGGAAATGTGAACTGACATAAATAATCGAGGTTAACCTCATGCTTTATATCCAGAAGAAAAACAGCTAACATACACAGTGCCGGAATGGATGCAATGTATTATTAAATGTTTGTATTACTACAAGCATATAAAAACCGAGATGTAAATTCACAAACCTAATTTAACACCTCAAACCTATTTTCAGAAGAAAATAAAAAAAAACCCAATTTGAGTGAAATTCCATTGGGACTGTGGAAACCCAGATGTGACCATCTGGACTGATGCCTGTATCAGGATGAAAAATTAGTGCCAGGAGATCTCAGATCAGTTAAACTTGTGAGAGCCGAGGGCATTTTGTATTGTGTTTCAGTTCATCCTGTTCTATCTATATTGATCAGATGAGACGACGTGACTACTTACTCTTTGTTTATTTCGGTAAAGTCACGTAGTTAGAAATAAAATAAAACAAATCACGACGTTTCGATCGCAACACAAGCGGTCGTCATCAGGCAAAAGTCTACTGTAGAATTAATTTGCGAACTATTATTATATACTCAGGTTACATCTCTGCTAATAAATCGAAAACAAAGCGAAATTTTCAAATAAGCAACGCAAACGAAAACAAGAAAGAGTTTGTAACACTTTCCAAAATGTGTTTGTCCTCGTTACTATTTCATTATTGGTAATAACAATACCACGCGTAATTATGACATCGAGAGCAGTGGTGAACACATGACGTGTGATGTTACAAGATTGCATCACATTAGGATACCATGTGACGTCATCACATTGGTCGAGAAGGTTTATTCGTTCTTGCCAAGTTTTGGCCAATCCTTTGATCGATATGTCCTGTTTTCTCGATGGTAAGTCCCTATTAGCATCACAATATTATGATTGTACACGTAGACTTTCGCGACTAATATGAATCGTGATTTAACATTTTTGCAGGTGAGATCATGTTGGTATACAGTAATGTCAAATTTTAACTAAGCATCTGCCATCCGACAGAGCCAATCAAATCAAGTTGTCACTTGGGAAAATATGGACGAATTATTCACTGGTTATGCACACATTTTGTACCCAATGGATAAAAGTAGAAGTGCGGATAACCCCACAGATAATAGGAGCTGCAATATTGGTCCGTGCCCCCCCATAACCGCGAATAAGAGTTCTCCTATACGCAATCACTGAAATCCAATTTCAATCGCCCAGGATTGGATCGAAAAGCTGATGTGGATTGGATCTCCAGAATCACGGAGAGGATCAGTTGGGATCATGTATTTTATTGAACCATGCACTCTTCATAGATACCTGCAGCTCTGTTAAAGGAGCATCTTCAATAGGTTCGCTGTCTCTTCCCAAGCCCAATGATATATTGTATCCACAAACCCTATAGCTGCCACTGGAGTTAAGTGTCAAACAAGCACGGAGAACACTGACTTTTTGTAGATGTTTACGATAGATCATTGAATTCAAAGAATGCATTAACCACATGTCATAAGAATGTCTAAACATTCCCTTGACTCTTCCAGAGCTTTTGAAAACAAGCTTCTTAGACTTTTGGCTTTAGTTTGGCCGGTGATCGAGTTCAAATATTCCCGCCTTAATAAAAAACCAGGAGCACTGCACGGCTACATAAATGATTTTCTGTTTATGTGTGCAGCCAAAGGTGCTTAGTCTACAGGATTTAAATAGTTAATTAGACGTGTGAAACAGCCTTTATGGGCCACCGTAGCTTTATTGGATCTACATCAGCTAATTAAGCAGCCCTCAATGCATTTATCATGGCTCTGAAGACGCGGAGCTCATTTTCAAACAATTTTACCAAGATTAGTGGAGGCTTGTCACATTATTTCAACTCCTCCAATACCACGCTGGTATTTTGCTTCGGTGATATATTATAAACGTAATTTGGCAAACATCTACAGTTATCCAGAATTGCACCTCTTCCGTAACAAATTAACAGCCCTTGGTTTATGAGTTACACCACTCAAGAGTTTTGAGTATCACTTGTCACCGAATTGCGAAGTTGATTTCGAGAAAATGTCGATCGTTTTCCCTTCGCCAAAGAAATGGCAGCACGGTGAAGCCCTCACGCACTTCGTAGAGCACACGAGTGCCGCGGTTTGCACGGTCCTCAGAATGAGCTGCACTGCAGTCGAATGACCATGGATGTATGTTGAACTTCTTCAGCACCGTACGTAGCCAACCGTGCCACATCGGAGGCGCGGTTGAAGGACAACGAAACTAAACTGAATGGGTTCATTTTCAATCGAGATCCAAAGACGCCACCACCGAAGCCCACAGCAGAGGAGCGTCACTATCATTGTGACGCACATGCACGTGGTGTGCACGGTAGGGCTGAACGGTAAAGGGCTGAACGATTAATCGATTTCAAAACGAAATCGCAAGTTGAAACAATGCGATTAGCAAATCGCAAAGGCTGCGATTTTTTGCGATTTGAAAAGTCCTATTACTTATTAGAATTGTTTTTTTTTAATTATAACTTTGTTTACATAACTTAACAATTGTTCTATGTTTGATTGTTCTATTTTAATTAAAACATTTTTAATAAATACATGTTGGAAGCAATACATTTTAAGTTATCATCCTTGCATTAGAATATATAGAGCGGTTCACATTTTGATGGTATCACGTGGTAATGCTCCATCACATGTTGTAAATCTATTACACAGTGAATATTGAACTGAAGCTTGACTTAAAAAAAAAATGTAATCGCAAATCAAATCGCAATGAGATATTTTCCCCAAGTCGTTCAGCCCTAGTACACGGCCCTCGTGCCATTCGACTGCGGGATGAGCGCCTTCCCACGGGTTCGTGGGGGGTTATCTGACCACACTTCAGCACGCTGACCAGTGCAGGTTGGTGAAGGTGTAAGCAAAGGCGTTGTAGCGGAGTAGAAGTAGTGCAGCAGATGTCCTGCGCCGCTGTCTGCTCACGATATGGTCTCGACGCAGGTTATGACACCCATTCTGTTCGTGGTAGTCGCTCATTAAAAAAAAAAACCCATTATCCAGGCTTAGCATCCGAGATATGACGAGATCGGGCGCGTGCAGGGAAATTCGGTCGTAACATGCGTATTTACAGCAACAAATTAACGACCGGTAGCCAATTCAAAATGCGTAGCCTTGAATGATTACCGCCATACAACGTTGATGATGACGAACGGCTTCAAAGCAGAAAGGGCCTCACACTGCGAGCCCTTCAATGTTGCCGTTATGGATCGCCCCACTACTTCTCGGGGCGCGGGGGTTGGGGGGGGGCGCACTTGAAATTGTGGGAGCTCCAGTTCGTTAGCGAGCCATCCATTGAGTACGTACACATGGAGGGGGGGTTAACCCAAATGTGTAGGCTTGCTTATGGGGGGGGGGGGTTGACTGACAATGTGCGTACGCATAGGAAACAGGGGGGGGGGGGGTGAAGCCTTGATAATAATAATAATTTGTCTACATTGGCCTTCAAATGAGTTAGATAGTCCGGCGGTGGACTATCTGTTGATTACTTGATCCTTGATCGTTTCTGCGTGGATTAAATATCGGCCGTTCTATAGGCTTCGGGGGGGGGGGGGTGTGCGTCAGGCGTGCGTACGCAGGTGGGGGGGATGGGGGTAAAAAGTCCGCGTGCGTACAGGGAGGGGGGGAGGGGTCAAGTTTTGACAGATCGTTGCGTACCTGCTCAATGGATGGCCCCTTAGCACCTCCCAGCGCTTGCCACGTGAATGTTTAAATTAGCCCGGCGCCTGTAAAAGCACGAGTGTGCTTTGAGAAAGCAACGCTGCGTTGTCTGCGTTTTATTTATTACCCATACCAAGCTGCGGCTAATGGGCGCCAGATGGAAAGGGTGGGGGGGGGGGTTGTTGTTTTTCCTTCTCCGAACATTCATTCTCCCAGTCACCTTTTATCTCCCGCTATCCGGCGGCGCAGGTAATAAACAATCGCCAAACAGATAGACCAGACTCCTTCCCCACGGGCTGAGCGCGTGCTCTCTCCCTACTGACCAGTGGCTGTCACACTAAACTGGAAACTAGGCAATTTAGCAAAACTAAATAATGCACTCAACCCCACCACCACTACCACCGCCGCCGCCGCCGCCGCCGTTCCACCACCAGCAGGAATTATCAACGTGCAATCCTCACGTCGTTCCGGACCTTCTCTCAAATATCCACGTCTATCATCAAATTTACGTACGACAAAAAAAACATATATACACATATTCTCATTACAATCTACATTGTCGCAATGCGTGAGAGGCGTGGAGAGCTGGGAGATGCCGTGCATACAGACGTGGCAGATGCACGTCCTGCGTGGAGGGAGAGACGTGTAAAGTGAGAGAAGCGAGGAGATGTGCGATGTGGGCAGAGAGTGGAGGCTGGGCACGGCGTGGGAGAGATGCATCGAGCGAGAGAGATGCATACGCGGCGTGAGAGACGTACAGATGAGCGAGAGGCTTTAACGGGCAGGGCGATACAGCATCAGAGAGGCCGGTCAGAGTGAGAGAGAGAGAAGCAAGAGTGGGAGACACAGACAGCAGGAGGATCCTCGCTTTTGATGGCAGGAAACAGCATTTCCCGAGCCAACATTTTCCCAGAACTATTGTTCATTTTTCTGGTCCCCCTGAGGAACTTTAAGATTGAGGTTTCATTGTCTTTAAAAGTTATCCTCTGAGAGTATTATTTTCCAAATTAAGCTGAAACGTGAATAACAACTGTGCAAACTGCGGCAGGCAATGTTTACAAACGAGAGGAGTGGCTGCATCAGCACATGAGAATCGTTGCGATGGTCACAGATGTGTTAGGCCAGTTGCTCCTGTTGAGAGGTTTATTTTAATCAATCAACTATAAATGGACGTAAGGATAAATTTGGGAACAGTTCATCCAATAAACCATGGCGTTTTAAGTTCTCAAAGTATGTGCACTCTGCCTTCCAGAAAAGTGAACAGAACACCCCCAGGGCAAAAAATAATGATTGATGTTTCTTAAACCTTCACAGCTAGAGTGAAGGTTTGCCCCCAATCAGCTCTACCGCCCATGGGTTAGATCGCGTAATAAATATATAAATGTGTCGTTAAACCCGACACCACCCGACACAGCCAATTAGTAAGGTTTGTCACGCAAACAGAACGTGCCAATTCGTTACTTTATATGCATTTATTAACCCCCCCCCCCCCTCTATTTAAGGAACGAAACAGGAGGATTTGTCCACAAATCTGGCTGTCGCCTGATGAAGCTAGTTGTAATTACTGGCGAAACGTCGTACTCAGATTGTAAATGTTGTGGCTTGGCTCTCCAACACACCGGTGTGCTGTACTAGTGACGAATTGGCCACGTTCTGTTTACGTGACAACCCTTGCTAATTGGCCGTGTCGGGCGGTGGCGGGTTTAACGACACATTTATATATTTATGCGATCTAACCCAAAAAAACCTCTATTATAGATGTTTGAATAACTTTTGCTGTATATGAGTAAGAGCTCACCGCTCCAATGAGGTGCCATGGCGCGGCAAGCACATTGATCTTTAGAAAATTGCGCAAGAGCATGCGGGCCACATCCCATTCGCTGTGCAATATTTCCCAAAATCATACGTGAGCATTACCATTCACTTGACTCGCTGAATTACCCTCACATCTCCGAAATATTGTGCAACTCGCATGCATTGCAAGATTCACCTTCATCGTGACGTCACCTTTACTACTTTTGAATCAGTTCTCAATTCACAAAGAGCACTGCGACCATTAACGCTGTACCGTGCTTATTGTTTTAAATCGTAGATTCCAGGCCGTGGATGCCAGAGTCAGGGCCAGGAGGAGGCAAGAGCCTGAGCAAGGACAGCACAAGGGTCACCGCCACCGTGCCAAGCCTCGGCCAGGCATTAGACCCGATGCTCATCACCATCATCACCATCAGCGCGCTGGGCATTGTCATGGGCATGGTGTGCGCCTCGCTGCTACTCTACTGCGTGTGTTCGCGCGCCCGCCCCGTCTCGTCCACCACCGCGCTGCACACCGTTGGCAACGGGCCCACGCCACTGGACGGCTACAACTTTGAGCTCTACAACGGAGTGAAGCTCTCGAGCAAAACCAACGGGCAGTACAAACAGGCCACCCAGGCGTAGCCGATGTGCCAGCACGCCGATGTTACGAGGAGGGCGAGGATCGGGGGGAATGGGGGGGGGATGGGGGTGGGCGTGGCCCGACGCTGTCGGTTGAATTTATCCAAGGGAGACAAATACCGCATTTGTGTGCCGAAATCCTTTTTAAAGTCTTGCAATCAAACAAACAAACAAACAAAAAAAACCGGAAAACAAACAAAAAATTACCACGCATACGTTTCAAACGAAAAAAAATAATTGCACTCATTGGATTTCCAAAAGCGATTCAGCGCCATAGGAAACAGCAACAAAAAGAGAAGCGAGTGAGCGAATACATATCCACGATCGTGCGAAGCCTTGTAAGTTCAACTGCTGTGTCTCTGCTGGATTTACCCGCAGCAGCCCTGTCCCATGCTCTCGTGGAGAGCATCACTAAGTGCTGGCACTACTCTGTCTTCACACTCGCTGCTTAACCACCCCCCCCCCCCCCCCCTGCTTCGTCAGTGCTGCCTAGTCGGTGTTTTCTGTTTCTGCCTTAATGAACCGTATTCAGATTTAATCCACTATAAACGTGTACTTTGAGAGTATAAAAGAGAGCAAGATTACAAATATATATGTGTGTATATCTCTTTATGGCAGGTGTCCAATTATCGAGTACTGCACTTTGTAGATATATTGCTTTAATGTTTTATATTAAATATATATTTTTGGGCATTTTTATTTTAATTTACTTGCATAATTTTTTTTTACAAGTGCCCCTTTTTTTTCTATATCTCTTTCTTTGTTAGAACTATTATGGCAGCAAATACCCAAGTCTTGTAAAATAAACATACGTATTACATTAGTGACCACTGGACAAAGTAATGCCTCTTAAAATTCACCATGTGGAATGTTGGCACGTGCATGATAGCTCCGTGTGTCTCGTCTCTCTGCTCTATGTGAATAAGCAAATCCGTGTGTGTCTCCCTTGTGTAATTTTTTTTACCAAATGTAGTCAAACGGTTGGGGAGATGAAGCTAATAGACAACGGGTCAGACAGAATAATTTTAAACGCAAGACTAAACCTGTAGGAGATCCGTACGCCTACCAAATTAGGCTCCTCAACAATGCTTTAGTGATGCTCAAGATATATTATTTACAATGTTTCTAGATAAGTACAGAAATACCAGTCATCATTTTATATAAACTGAAAGAATACTTAACACCTCTGACCTTCAACTGTGGAATGTGTTCCCATGATCAATGTTTATCCATGTGTTTTTGCTGGTAGGCCAAATCTGTGTTTTTTTTCTCGTTTAAAAAAAAGAATAGCACTGAGCAGGAACTGGGTTGCAGCTGCACATCTCAAAATAATTTAAATGTTTCTCTTGGCAACACGAAGCGGGATCTACATCCAGCTCATGTACAAGTATTTGTATTAATGACAATTATTGTTTATTTAATAACCAGTAGTACTGCTGTATTGATTTTTGTTTTTGTTTCACAAGTGGTGTACATGCGAGCGTTGAGGAGTTCTACGTTTTGCCAAAATGTGTTTTGATCGTGGCCGTGGTGGCCGCCTGCCGCCACATGCAGTTCTGCATTTCAAACGTTCAGCGTCGGGGAAAAGGCAAAAAGATGATGCAGCAGTCATGTGGTGTTCATATTGTGGCAAATGCTGATTTTTTTTTTTACTCATTCGTTTCTCCCTTCGCTCTTAGATTTAGTTTGAATGCGTCAGTTTCCCACCCCCCACCCACCCCCCTTTTCATCAAACAACTGTAAACAGTACTTTAATATCCACCACTGCCTGGGCATCTCTCGCCTGGCGTCTCTTAAAACAATTGTGCATTCACACACCCCTTTGCTATGACTTGACCGTACAAGAGACGTAGTTTTGTGCGCCAGAAAGCACCCACTCTTGTTTAAAATGATCGGCAAGTGACAAGGTAGCTACTTCTTGCATGATTGAGTGATCGCTTTCCGCATTTTAAAGACTCGACTGGCAATCACGCAAGGCCATGAAAATCGCATCCCGAGTCGAAGCCAATTCGGAACATCATCTCATTCATATCAATAACCCGAGTACCACCTGGATCGTCAACAGTGGCTGTCTGTTTTTTCGAGAGATTAGTCCTTGCCATGGGATGTGAAGTTCCCACTGTTGGCTGAGGGCCTTCACTGGAGTTGAGTGCTGCCCTGTAACTCCGTCGAGCAAGGGAAATGCTTTTATTTTGACCTGAGGGCCCCTGTCCATAAGCAATTCAAAAGACTGCATTTGACTTAACATGAAACAACAGTCATTGATAAACCTGTGCTATTTTATTTTTTGATATTTAAATTTTATTTTTGTATTCCTTGAAAAAAATCTATCCATGGATATTATTTTAAAGATACCGTTATTTAACATACATTTTATTTAAATGAGCTATTCAAGCCGACCTTTATAATTTGTGGGATACACCCCCATGTGACACCAAATCATTTTTTTTTAAACCAGCTCTATTCCCTACTATGGTAAAATGTTATATTTTTCGATTTAAAGCTTTCGTGACTGCAGGGATTCATCTTCTTGGCTCTTTCGGTAAAGTTACGTAGAGGGGAAATAATAAAGTAATAAAAATAAAACACAGTAAAATAAAAAAATAAAATGCTTTATTTTTAGTATTTTATTATTCCCCTTCTACGTGACTTTACCGAAAGAACCAAGAAGATGTTATATTTTTATATAGCATTTTTTTAATACATGCCCTTGTGAAAGTTGTCGTGTGGTGCAAGAAATAAGGCTTAATACAATCCCAGCACCCAATATCTGTTATCCCATCACCTTTCCCCCACATCCACAATTGGATAGTGACCTGAAAATATCGGATGGAAGTTTCATTTTTTACTGCCTTACTCCTACCGGTGTCCCTGCCTACACTAAGAAATAGCAATAAAATGCTTGCCATTGCATTTTATGGCCAGTAATAAAATACCCCCACTATAAAAAAAAAAGCTGTGCGTCGTTTATCCATACGTAACGAAGGACAATTACATTATGTGCCATTCAGTGGCCAGCTCGCACACAATAGCGTAATAAAATGAAACAATGCACGGTATATGTCGCACGGAAACTGAAAAAAATATATATTTTAGACAGCATCCTTTAAAAATGCCTGACCACCAAAGAAGGCATCGACGACGGGTTCTCCAACAATAGGTCTTTGATGATTTTTCGAAATGTAAATGCCTTGGGACATATTTCAGTGTGACAAGCGAGAGGAGAACGTCCACTCAACCCGACCGATTTAACGTAATCTTCGCGATTACCGCTGATGGCGAGGACTCATAAGGCATGCTAAGGACGGCGCTTTATTTCTTGCGTGCACAAAGTGCAAATAATGGTATGGTGTAGTCATCAAATGCTGCTTTCTGGACTAGCATAGAGATGCTTGTTTAGCAATAAAGCTTTGCTTGTTCATGATAGAGTCTGCTAAACAGCTTTCTGTGCTGTACCAAATGAACATTGTCTTTCATGTCTTCATCTTTAGGTACTGTATAGGCTGATCATTATGAGATGCTGCATACTGTATTTGTAACCTGTAACTGTTACGTAAAAAAAAACTGTTAGTAAAAAACAAGCAAGAAGTGTGTGTTCGTGTTTTTTTTTTATTCTGCATGGTTTGATAAAACATCTGAGCATCTTCACGGATGAGCTGGCCACTACCCACACACCAGGAAGCTTGAATATTATTTACCGTGCAATCACGGAATGTTAAAGAGTTTCTCCTGACTCAACAGATGGCAAAGCAATCACAGCTAAAACACTCTTCTGAGTAATGCAAAGTGTAACGGATGGATCATGAGAAAAAAATGGAAATTTTAAGGTTCTCAGCAGATGGGTTGGTTTAGTGCATGAAATGAAAAGATTGACCTTTTGAAACCTTGCAGATATGCACTGCTGAAGATGTATGTTCCCCGAATGTCCGTCAACATGCTACACTGGTTACTTTGATTGAAATTCAGATATAGTCAACCTGACACATTTGCATTTTCAAAATGTAATAACCTACGCAACTACGAGAAATAATCAGCACAAACCAACATTCCGATTGTGGTCTTTATTATGATAAAATGAATGAAGACCTACAAATCTAAGCCTTTTAAGTATAATTTGCTTTCTAATATTTGCATTTTTAAATCACATTGGATCAGCACCAGCTTTGTAAACAAAAAATGTCTCCCCGTCCGATTGAATCTTTCAATACCCTTCGGTTTTAAGAATTCCCAGGTCATATTCCAGTTAGATTTCTACCAATACAGAATCAAGCGATCAAAATAGTTAATCTTCTTTGGTTCTTTCGGTAAAGTCACGTAGATATAAATAAGACATAAATTATATCTACGTGACTTTACCGAAAGAACCAACGAATATTAAATGCTTCCTAAATTTGATTCTTGCCTACGTACATCCGAGGTTTGCTGCCACGAGTGGGCTTCAGGAGACAGTTCGTGTAGCTTTGGTATTCCTCCTCCATTGCAGATTTCCATAATAATGCATTGATATGGAAAGTCTGCTTGGTGTACTGATTATATGTCATTCATTTCGGTGGTTAAACAAGCTCCGTTTTACTCTTTTTATTATTCTTACGAAGTTACAAAAGTCCCCACAAGGTGATGAAAGACAGTAAATATTCCTGTTCCTCTGTAGCCTCAAAGCCGCAAACATATAAATCACACATCAATGACAGCATACATGCTTCATGTGATGTTAATGTGACATCACATGTCATTGTGGTTGGGATGAGTTAAGGGATCGGTGGGTGATTCATAGTGATGAAAATCAGGCAATTAGTGGAGTTATGCTGAAGAGAAAACAGTAGAAGGATGACACCCCCATGTAGCCTTTATTGGGGTACCCCAGTGGCGAGATGTTAACTGCCTCACCTGGTATACAGGAGGTCGTGGGTTCAATCCTGACCCTGACGCCTGTTGTATATTTAGAGTTTGTATGTACTCCCCGTTGTCGTGGGGATTTTTCTCCAGGTCCTCCGTTTTTTTCCCTCCACATTTAGAAACATACGTTTAGAGTATTTGGCTGCTATACATTTCCACGTGATAAGCCAATTCGTTGAGTTATCATTTGTGGCCAGGTCGCGTATGAAAAAGCCACAGAGTTCAGTGGGCCTTACCTGGTAAACTAAATAAATAAATAACAGACTGCTGTGCCTCTTGTGCTGTTAAGGATAATAATAATAATGGTAATTTGTAAGCCAGGGCCCCTGAGGCCCTGTGCGACATTTACAAGCACGCACCTTATCCCTATTTGCCTTTGGCAGTGTGACGCACAAAGGTATGGCAGTCACAGAGGCCTGGCCACCTTGCATCTACTTTTAGTTCTCAGCATCAGTGAGGACAATTGAAAAGGTTGGTGACCCTCACCCTACTCATAGCACTACCGCGCCTCCCCACACTCACACTCAGTGCCATGCGCTGAGCGGTGGTGATGCCGATTCAACTGCCATTGGCTATACAATGCTTTGCTTGTGTAGTGTTGTAAGGACGAGCAGACTTCTTTAGGAGGCACACTCTGTTTATTGTATTATTTCCTTATACAACGCTTAACACACAGAGGGATATTCGGTCCCCTCACCCGATACCCTAGGGAGGTACAGCCTCCGTACCTGGCGGGACTCACACGTCTACCGCTATCCTAGTCCTCCGGCTAGGACCGAGGGGAGGCTATCTGACCCACCGCTGGCCCGGTGGGTCCTGACCACTGGGTATGCCGAGCCTTAGCCCTTAGAAGGGCTGGAAGGCTGGTCCAGGGTCCTAGCTAGGCTTCAGCCCAGTCTTCTGTCTTCGTGCAGGGAGAGAACTCCCCGAGGTCCGTTGGGTCACCCGTCTTATACCCCTTCGTGGCCAGGTAGAACCAATCATACATTCCCACGTGGAACCGTCTGATTGGTTCGCACCAAACCCTGGCCACGATCCGTTTCACCTCGACTGACCCCAACCGTTGTACCCAGGGGTAATGCTGCACTGCCCTGGTGGCAACACAGGTTACGCAACAGCGCGTAGTTAACACCTCTACACTTGTAAAGGCAGACCTCATGTTGTTGTCTACCCGACATACATGACAGCTGTGCAGAGAAACAATGCAATTTATGCATCTAAAATTAATGCAGAATTGAACTTCAAAAGTTCAGCACAACACGTGGGATTCACTCGCTCTTATGCAAATGTGTCCATCCCACAAAGTGGTCTATCGGTCCACTTGTAAATGTCTTGATATGTACTTGATGCAGGGTGATGGATAAGAGCAGCAGACCTCAATGTGCCCATAAATATACAACAATCTGGATACTGCCTGTTCCCAGTTGGCAATCCGTATTTTGGTTAAGATAACCTTTTGCCAAGGTGAATGTATGTTACGTCCCATATGACAGCATGTTTCTCAAAGGTAGTCAAATCCTTATGATTTAAGATGAAAGTTTGCCTCAAAATCTGTAAACATGCTACCCTAATTTACATTCATGAAACAAATACCCGTCAGTATAGGAACACAGCATATTTTCCTGTTCGTCTTCATCAGCCTCCAATTTGCAGAGGCTTTGGCTCTAAGTGAAACATTGCGGGTTTAGGTTTCTATGCATTATCTATACTTTTTTAAAATCATTATTGTCGTTTTAATATGGGGCCTGCTATGACGACGTCTGAACACACTTCAGGCACATACAGGAAAGAGACACAATCCCTCTACAAATGGTGAACGTCTGCTCGGCTGTGTGAGATTCAGAACATGGGCTAAGAGTTTGGCACACAATGCCCTCCGATATACTTTGCATAAAACAATGACATCTGCTACCAAAAACTGAAGCACTGCTTTAGACAACAAAAGCAACATAATATAGATGCATTGAGAGCTCACAATAGTATCAATAATGTGTTAAAAGCGGTCGCAAATAAAAAGGGGATATTGGATTAATTTCAATGAAGGTATTTAATGAAGACATCACCAAAATTGTACTAATTTAACTGTGGAGATCCTGGTCCACATCATAGGAATGTCCTGATATAAACAGACGTGAGTCATCCAAGATATATAAGTGGTCATCGGTGACTAATGCAAGCTATATTGTAATTGATGGGCTCGACAAATAAAATATATAAACATGTAACAATAATCAAGTCTATGTTCATACTGATAAAAATCCTAAAATTAATAATTTAAAATCTTGGCGTCTCATAATGAGCTTATATTTTATTGAACTGTTTTTAACCCAGGCCGATGAAACTGTTGTATCGAAATCCAGCATGTTTAATCAGATGACAATCTGGAAAAAAAGTATATATAAATTTTGGGACCCTCAAAATAAATAAGAAAATAGTTTGCCGATTAAAATTTTATTTTTGGGCCAGGCCATGCAATGATCCGGCCAAATGTGTGTCGTTATGACCCTCCACCACCCAACATAGCCGATCAAATTAAAGCATTACGTAGACAAGTATTTAATTTTGCCAATTATTTCAGCTCACCATGAGTGAAATAGCATTTCTCACAACCAATTTTTTTACGATTCAATACGACGTTTCACTTTAAACTACATCAAGCATAATCAGGACACGTTCAAAGAAGTGAAAAAAATATCCAGGAAGTCGGTGTAACCTCCCTAGATCTTGAATTTAGTAATTCTGAATTTCTTTCATAATTTGACATCACAACGTATGCAAATATGTTGGCAACTAATAAATGATAGTTCAATAACCTTCTTTTAGGAACACGGTGTTTCAGAAAATGCTTAATTTCTGATTTAAATGCCTTCGTATTACTTTCATTGTGAGAATGAAGTTGATAAATGTATACATATTAACGAAAACAATGTGCTGTTTTGGTATACTGTTTTCTAAATTATGTTATTGTAACTTAAACGTATTGAGAAAGTACACGCTGCATTCAACGTTGTACAATTGTCCAAAGGGAACTGAAATGGTAAAAATAAATTCCCTGAAACATCAGTGACAACTGGATCTTGTGAACTGAGGTTATTTTTTGGAGAGTATTAATAATGCGTAATATAGACCCTTACAATTGACATCCCACATCTGGAAGCTCGAGCCATATTAATTGTTAACGAAAACGATTAACATTACTTAAGCAATCACTTGATGTTAATTATTCAATAACCAACAATTACGTAAGTAATTAGCCCTACGGTCACCACAGCATAGAAACAGAGGGAGACAGGGAGACTGAGCCACAGAGTGGAGGGAGGAAAGATAGATACATGATACACACAGAGACAGACGCAAGGAGACGGAGAGTGGGATAAAGTTGGAGAGAATGTGAGAGACAGCCAGAGGCAGGTGGAGGCAGACGTCTTCTTATTCCGTACGGCTGCTGATGTAGATGCAGAGCAACAACAACAATTTCACATTCGGGTGGTCAAGCCAGATAATAACCGCGTCAGGAGTAGCCGAGTCAGAGTGCATCGCTGTGATGATGTCTCCTTTGTATTTGTGGATCGAGCAATGCGTCGTTGTTTGTTATACTGCCTATTCTGGATGACCACAGTCGCACACTGGAGAGTTTTTTGAATTTTCCATTTGTGCATCAGGTATCCGCATCTGCCATGGTTTGTGCAGTGGATGCGGTTTAGGGTGGACCGTGAGCGTCGCGAGCCTTTCACAACAAGGTGTTACTCTTTGGTTCTTTCGGTAATGTCACGTGGAAAGAAAATAAATCGAATAATTTATTCTACGTCACTTTAGCGAAAGAACCAAAGAGTAATTCCTGCAGTCACGAAAGCTTCAAATCAACAAGGTGTTAGTTTGTAAATTTTGAACTCCATTCAGCTCTCCAAGCTTCATCGGGGTTGAACTCTCATTGTTGACCGACAGAGACCAACAGAGAGCGAATTGATATAAAATATCTCGTGTGTATTATCTTCATGTAATAAATATCGTTACGTTACAATTGACAACGCTCTGTGAATCCACTGGTTACTGAAGGCCTTCCCACAGCTTTTGGTGAATGACGTTGTTGAACCAACCTTTACGACGCTGGTCGGTGTGGTTTGGTGAAGAGGAGGGGGGGGGGGTCCAGGACTTGTCTAGATACCATTTGCCACTGATGCCAGCCATGGGCAATGAATTGACATATGCAAGGAGAGGGAGAGTGGTGAAAATGTCCCAAGTCACTCCAGTCCATGTTTGAATTGTATCCTGAATCGGCCAAAAACTCAAGCAACTCATTAATGACCCCAAGATGAGTGGAGGTGACGTCCTGTACCACCCTCCCCAGCTGCCTTGTTGATGTTTGTTTGTTGTGAAGGCAAAAGAAGATAATTTTAGTCAGGGTCGACACATACAGTAGAAGGAGGCAATAAACATGCGAGTGCCGAGAACTGAGAGCTTCTTCCACACGTGGACATTTAAATTTAATGTGAATCACGTTATGGACATTCAATAAAAATATAGGCGTTGATAAATATTACTACAGAAATTTTAATAACAATTGGGTTTGATTTTTGAGAAAAAAAATTACGTTAAAAAATAAGAACCTACAATATTAAACCACCATCAATGTGTTTTGAATACAACACAGCATATTTTTTGAGCATATAATTATGAATGCAGTTTAATACCATAATTTGATGTTTTATTATTAGAATAACAGAGCGCACATTCGTATTTAAAATTTAGATTTAAATTTTTATGAATGTTAAAAAAATTACAAGCACGTATAATTAATTACACATCAGAGAACATTGGAAAAATATTTGACTGTTCAAAAGCTAACATTTTCAATTCATATGCGATGACCAAAATACAATTCAGGTGAACATAAGACAATTGTGTAGAAAATCCAATATTGTATTTTTATGAATTATCTGTCATAACTTTTAAATAATATATGTGCTGGTGTAATACCAGAACGTAACATATTAAGCACTGAGGAAGAAAATGCATATATCTGACATTTCATAAACAGGATTTTATCAAGATGAATATCTTGGCGGAAAGAAGGCTAGCCGAATATTATATTTCACGCTGGCAAGTTCATACTTCAAACACAGGTATTTTCCCCACAGTTGTATCTTATTTGAATGTTATTCATTTATATTTGCACCATTATGATTTTCTGCATACACTGCTAAACCCTGAAAGACAATGGGTGATGGACAAGTTTTATTCTCATTTAACATCTGGCCCCATAATTACAACCACACCACCAACATCAAGAACAGTGGCTCAGCTGGGCTCAACGTTAATACGTTAATACGTGAATACGTTGAGCCCAGCTTGTACTGGAGCCATGCACTGTTGCATACACCACTAATACCTGTCGAATTAAGATGTCAAATAGTTTGCTTACAGAAATATCTTTTGGGGAATATTAAGGGTATTGACGGTTCTTTGACTGCAAAACGTGTCCAAGAACTGAGCCCTACAATTTCTGCAGAACCCCAGCCACCGTACAGTTATACTGGATGTACATATCAACCTCAAGCTCGCATCAACAGTTCATGTATTTCATGTCAAATCACTTGCTCCGAACACAACTCCAATACCTGAAATCTTAGTCGCACTGGCTGCAGTTTTCATGGACAGGCCATTTAGAAAACCGTCACATCTTCATGATGCCAGGACACCGGTGCTGCACGCTGCTGTATGAATATTAATGTAATTAGTGCGAATACCATTCAATTAACTGGTATGCAAAGTTGAAAGCTTGGCTGCTTTTGTCTCATTAAGAAAAAAATACGTTAATTCGTGAAATCAATTTAAAAACTGATTTCCCCCCTGTATACATGAATCCACATCTGTTGCAGAATATATCAAAGAAAGACTGAATTGCAAGTTTTAAGGTTGCGCTTGCAATGGTAATAATGTATGAACTTTATTTTCCCAGACTCATAATTTATAGATAAGGATTAAACAGATCTAACATTACCTTTCTAAAATATATATTCTCTTTAATAAAATTACCAACCTGTTTTACAATCCGCACAACATTTAGGGATCATGTGTTGGTTCCCTGCAGTTAAAAAATAAAATCAATTTTATTTTGGGTCAGGCGGTACTATTTTAGAAGTTAATTAAATGAGAAACAATTAAATGGCCCATGAATGAATCATGTGGAAAATTACAACACTCACAGCCAACTGCTCACAGTATGCATTTACCCTCTTGACAAAGACATACAACAACTCATCACGATTAGAATTACAGCATTGTGTTACCTGATAATGAAAGGTACCCTTAATGTGTAATCGAAATATAATTTTCCAAAACATATGACCGTGATTGTAAATAAATAAATACGTCGCAAGATGATTGTAATATTTAAAGGTACGTTAAAATTGTTTCTCTCGTCTCTCACAAGCAAGCTCTGCGGTAATTTACATACGATGATTATTAATTATGTATTACTCTTCCCTCCTTAAATAGTTTGTGTTGCATTTTCATCACGAGTTTGTAGATTCAATGCAAGAAATATTGTATTTTTCAGAGGTCATTGTAACTTACTTTGGATTATACAGGAACTAGGGATGAGCTTTGGATTTGTTTTTAGATATTTCGCATTCATCTATTTAAATTTGTAACATTTTCACAACGTTTATTGTTGATGCACTACACTTGATTATTTTAAATATAAAAAATGTAAAATATAATCTAAGGGAACCACGTTAATGTTTTGATAATCCAAGCAACATTGAAGTCATGCAACAATTTATTGCGGGGAAGACGGAACGTCAAATTTTGAAAAATTCTGAAACATTTTTTTTTCCGGATCATCAGAAATTTCATCGAGGGCCTAATTTCTTTGACTCTTCAGGTTAATTTTGAAAATCAGGAACATATTCGCAGCATGCACCTCATCGTGCAACTTCACATATCATTGTTTTTTGGAACTCACATCTGAAATTGAGTCTGTGATTAAAATAGATTAAATGATATTTAAACAAAATATATTACTTCGGTGACATTACACAATTCGTGGAATAGTTTCAGTTATTTAAAACGTCTCCTGCAGCATAAGGCCAAACCATGTTTCTATATTACGATGCCCTTCCCCTACTAATACAGCGTTGAACTTGCTCCTACCTAAACGTAACGGATTTGGAAAAAAAGGAAGACATTCCAAATAATCTTTGACCGTGCCTTGCACGAACCAAACAATGTGTGGACATGGATGAAATAATAAAAAAACACACGTGTGTGTCAGATGTAATGAGTTTATGTTATAATTGAATAAGCAGTGCATCCACACAGCAATTATTTTGAAGTGGGCATGGTTTTTTTTCTCTCTTCAAGAGTAAACATATAAGGTTACGTTACCGCTGTTGTATTGTGTGCGTGGGGTTGGGGTTGGTGAATGCTGTATGCCAATGCAATTCTAGTTTTCTGTACCATGGTTGTTGGTGTGATGGAAGCAACAGCATCGTGGAGGGTTGCAAAAATAACATCTTCGCTGAATTTCTTGTAGAAGCCGCTCTTCTCCAATGTCCCTTGAATCTCCTCTAGAAAACACACCCAAAAAATGAGCTTCATTAACGCCATCTATTAGCACACAGAAGTAACCCAATACTCTGCAATTTAAAATCCCATCAATAGTGTCCAGTTGTTTGCTAATGGGGTCATGCTGGAAATCACAGCCCATTCTCTGTAGACGGCTATTTGCTATAATTACAAAGTGGAGGATAATATTACCAATTTAGATTTTTACCCAAGCATGGCCTCTCCTGTAAGTGATGCTTCCTTGTTGCATTCCATTAACCATGAGCCAGACCATAATTTACCTTTACATTTCACAATCAACGGATTTTGTGAGGAAGACATTGTAAGAAGAAGTAAGTTGACTGCTTGAGAACATTAAAGGAAACTAATTACATGGCTGAATGCATTTCAAACGTGCACACCAAATCACTGAAATAAGTATCCTATAAACATCTCAAAATCCATTTAATCCTACATAGCATTCTTACACCCATATATTGTGTTGACAATAATCCTATTTAATTAAATGGTTCTACAATTAACTACTGCGTATTTGGTTCAATGTACATGCACACATTGGCCCTGCTTAGAAATAGTGGACATTCTAAAGAATGCCGTTCAATGGGAAAATGTACTTGAGATTTTCAGGCTGTTATTTATTGTTTGTTAGGAAGTCAGTGACTTGTTAGAACGTCAGTAATTATTGTAATTATCTTATTAATTTTCACTGGTTCTTATGCAATTAATTTCCATAAAATCGTCATCAAAAGTTTACATTTATGGAGTACTATAGTTGATTATTAACCCTGTTGCTCAGTGATCATTGAGCAAATGTGTATGAAGTATAATGTTCTATAGTGGCCGCGATGAGTATTTGGTTATAACGTGTGAAAAAATGATTGCTGAAAATGCAGATGTGAATCACCAATTGTATATGTTTCAATTAACATGCAATATCCAGCAGTCTACATTTTTTAGCAACCCTTTATTAATCCACTGCTGGATGAAAGCCTCCCCATATCTTGCTGGTCGCAGGGGACTTGTTTGACCACCACGTTGGTCAGTGCAGGTTGAGTAAAGGGTTGGGTGCTCAGGTCCAGTTAAGATTTCACTCGCCTCTGAAGTTAGTCACGGCTGGAAATAAACTCGGGTCACCGGGTATACAGCGTGATGCATGAACTCGTGTGCAATCACTCCACCCTGATACAAAACGTATATTTTCCTTTTCCAATATTATGTAGTTTGACCAACCCGACACAACCAAACGATTGAAATCGTCAGGTGGTGTACTCGCGTTCCACGCGTCAATGATGGTCGTTTCAGCTTTCGCTCACCGCTGAGTTGAACAGCCAATCTCACAACCGCATTTATCAGCACTGCAGCTTTTCTACTTTGGGCTTTCAGATGAGGTCTGCCACCGGGCTAAAAAGAAAGGTGCTTGAAATGTATGTTATTCACTGACAACTCTCCGTCAGAAACTCTGATCCGCTCAGCCCCTATTGAACTGTCAGCAATTCGTTCGTCATTCCAGGGTTGTGAAAAAAACTTGCTGATTTTCTTTGGTTCTTTCGGTAAAGTCACGTAGAATGAGAATAAAATAATAAAATAAAATAACACAATAAAATTCTCACGACGTTTCGGCCACAACACAAGTGGCCTTATTCTACAGGTGAAGAAGGCCACTTGTCGTCCCGACAGGTCTGTTCCTTTCACCTGAAGAAGGCCACTTGTGTTGTGGCCGAAACGTCGTGAGAATTTTATTGTGTTATTTTATTAATTTATTATTGTATTCTCATTCTACGTGCCTTTACCGAAAGAACCAAAGAAGATGAATCCTTGCAGTCACGAAAGCTTTAAATCGAAATTTAACTTGCTGATTTATGTAGTAGGCAATAACCCCCAACTCTTAAACCCTTTTACACCAAGGGCTGTGCCATTCGTTGAACACGGGCAAGTAAACAGGACTGTGAACGAAGTGAATTCAACTCACATTATTAAAATTATTAAAACTTGTTTTTACATATGTATATCGATATCAATGGTCACACATGAAAGTAATTGACACGAGGCTGGAGATGGTAAAAACACAATCCCAGCCGAACACCTCCCTCATTCAATGCCTGCTGACGTCTGCTAACCTGCAAGGAGGCACGGCGCCCATTATTCTACAATGGAGTGCGCGCAGAATAGAAAATCCACACAAATGTGGACCAAAAGCCCCTTGCATCACACCAACTCGTACAAGCTAAAATATTGGGCTGTCATTGACAAAATTATTACGCTATTCTATGGTACAAAAAAATCGCGCAAGATTTGAAGCTAAAAACTATTAAAGCTACGTTTACTTTTACCAGATAAGGGCCGCTGAAGCATGCAGCTTTTTCACACGCGACCTGATCGCAAATGATAGCTCAACGAAGTGGCTTGTCACGTGGAAATTTATAGCAGCCAAATACTCTTAACGCATGTTACTAAATGTGGAGGAGAGAAACCGGAGGATCCGGAGAAAAAATACACGCGACCACGAGGAGAAACATTTAAACTCCAAATATACAGCAGACGTCAAGAGTAAGGATGAAACCCACGACCTCCTGTATACCAGGCGAGGGAGTTAACATCTCGCCACCGCAGTGCCCTAATTTAAGGGTAATCATTGTATTATTGTATCAACTAGAGGCCAGCCTGCTGTATGAATGGGGTGGCATGACAGTATATCTGATACTTGACCCTTACCAGACATACTCACCTGACACCACTCTTCAGAAATTCACCACTCACCTAACACTCACCACTTACAACTCACCATGAATGACAGATGCAGGATCTGTCCATAATACAGCCTGTTGTTTAGTATTGAGTGGCACGCCACTCAATGCGTCTGACATGTGGTCATAGTTGTTTGATATAGTTCAAAGGTCAAAGCACGAACACTGGTCAATTCCACTACCATAAGTCTCTCATTTTTTCTACTCAAAATAAGCTCATTCTTGCCCCCATATACAGCGAAAATTCCTCAAGAAAGTGTTGTGACAGACTGACAGTGAAAATCATTTTCCTGTGTTATGGAATATGATTGCTTGGGGTGGGGTGAGAAAACTTGTTTTGCACTTACATTGCCCTTAAGTTTGGAGGAAAGGGAAAAGAAAGTAATCACTACCCTCAAGACAGGAAAAACCCAACAATCAGGGAACGCGTTACCTCCCCATCTCTCGACTGTGCACCAGAGTATTGGAGCGCCTCGTCGTCATCATCATGAGTATGAGTGACCTTCTTTAAGCATCAGCATCAGGGGCACGTGTTTAGATGGCTTCACAGTGCCGCATGCTGCCTAGTATAGGCGTAATGACCATTGTGCCTCTCAGCGGGTTCCCGGATGGCGATAGGCATGATTAGGAGAGGTGTTAGACATTGATTGTGTTATTTACTTCATCTTTGCCCAGAGAATGTAAACACCTGTGAGCTAGTGCCGAATTGCATTTAGGATAGATCAGTGATATAAAAGAACACTTTTTAACAATAACAGTGGAGGAGGCAGAGTGGTTCAGAGGTCAGGGCTCTGAGCAACTACTGCTGCTGAGGTCATGGGTTTGAATGCTAAAGCTGAGCCTCGACTGCAGTGCGTTAATGACCCAAGCCCGTTCACAAAATGATCACACAAAAACACGTCATTGAATTTGGTTTTGCTCTGGTATTTCACTAAATTTAAATAACATTAGTTTGACTGTCACGTAACAGACTATCGCATAGCAGAGCATATGAAAAAAGTGTGACCTTCCTACTGTGGTATAGGATTAAAAAAAAAACAAAGGCCACAGGAAGATGTTTTCCTCGTGAAAAAAAGCTCCTGCATTCTTTCTATGATGATAACATGGTCACACTGTATGGGAAATAAGAATAGGTTGTACCCCTTTCTGGCGATAAAAGAGGTGTTAAGATGTTCAAACACCAACTAGATATGAATCAAGTCTGCATTAACCACACGACCTTGGTGGTGAACATGCAAAACAACACGCTCTGGTAATATATGGCATTGTCTTTGAAACTGATTGGCCTACAAAAGAGACAGCCATCTTGAGGGCCTAGTCTCACCAGTGTCAGGCCAGAGAACGCCAAAAGTTGAACAGTACAAAGACGATGCACATATCGGAGCAGCTATATCATGGGACCTTTTTGTATGAAAAATTAAGAATAGGTTTTTACCCTCTCTGGCTATAAAACAGGGGTTAAGATGTTCAAACACCGAGATCCCATGATATGGTCACACTGCTCTCTAGGATTTCCGAACGACTTCTTTGTTTCGTGAGGCAATGCCGATTGCAGGACTGGATTTGGATAAAAAAACATTGTTTTCACGTAACAAAGCAGTGAAAGAAAAACAACAAGAGTGATGCCATTGTGTCTTAGAAAGTTGCATTCAAATTAACAATTGTATTGCCCTACAATGCTTAATGGTTTACGAAATGAACCACAAGTTTAATAAGGGGAAGTGTATAAATTGATTTTAAGGCGCATTTTTAAAATGTCCTCAGACTCGGGAGATCCCTGATATCTGGTGGAAGAGCGTTCCATAGCCCGGGGGCTACACAGGAAAAAGCTTGGTCACCCAAAGACCGAAACCTGGACCTGGGAATGCAGAGAAGATCTGCATCCCCAGATCTTAGGGACCTTGAGGAGACATATCAGACCCACCTGAGCACCGTGCCAAAAGGACGCGTGTTCCAATATCTCTGAAATCTTCACAGACCTGCATCAGCAACAAAAAAAATGTAGATTAAACGCATATTATTTAAATAAGAGACATCATTTTAAAGTTTCCCATGTCATCATTAATTTTGACCTGGAACTTAAATTCATTAAGAATTCGGACAAAGTGCTGCATATACCACAACATTATTATGAGCATAAAACATTAGAGATGAATGTACACAGTTTTTTTTATATTATTGTGTAAATGTTTCATGAACATTGTACACAAACACATATCATCGGGAGGGCCTGAATAACCCGAAACGATTTTTAAATGAGGACAAGTGAAATCATTCTTCAGTTTACTGCAAAATGAGAGAAAACTGCAGAAAGCTTACAGAAAACCCTGACATCCATACAATATAATTCCATCTCTCAGCAACATATCTCCTATACTAAATCCCACAGCACCATATTCTCTAGCTTGTGGATGTCTCATGCATGTACGTCGGACTTCTTTCGCACCGTACGTAGCCAACCGTGCTAATCGTAGGTGCTGGGGAAAGACAACAAACTAAACAAAATAATCAGTTCTCACGAAATCAGTTTTCAATCTAGATTTGAAAAAGCATAGCTCCAGAAGCTTCAGTGGCTCAAACTATAACTGGCGACATTGTATTATATTAAAAACTACTTTTTCTACCCAATTCCAGTTTTGCCATCATCATCAGGAGATAAATAATTCACCCTGAAATATCACAGCACAGCATGCCCCCCCCCCCCCATATTTCAGATAACATCTGGTAGAATATATTTTGCGCAGGACTTCTCCCGAAAAATCCTTGCAGTGGTCTGTTTTACCATTTACACAGTAGGCGGTAAAGTTATCCACGTGCCATGCGGTGATACTGGACTTCAGCCAAATCTAGAGTAAAAACTAAATTTCACAAAAATGTATTGTTTGTTGTGCAGTCATTGGTGACTGGGTTGAGACCACCAACTCACTATACCTGAGGACATTGTTTAATCACTGGCGGTTCAAATCCAACATCTCAGCAGTGGTGGCTCAGTTCTCTGAACGCTGACCCATGTGGTGATATGGGGAACCGGTGATAAAAAAATTACATCTCTGTATCAGCCACCAACTCAACCTAAAGGATTCTGAATTCAAAGCACAAACCACTTACACCTACTAAAACGTAATAAATATGGAAATATAGCCACCTTGGTCATTGCATTCAAATGTTTTAATGTAAAGTTAAATTTAGTACAGATAGATAATAGATCGAAGAACAAAATTGTGTTTTAACAACTCTTTGTATTCTTATTTAGTTCATGTTAAAAAGGCTTGTCAGCATTTGAAAACGCTGACAAGCACAGGAACATAAGAGTGTTTGAGGCAAGAGCAATGTCTGAGGTAACGGATCACAGAGCTGTAGCCCAATTCATGGTTTTCATTTTCAACTTCCCAGAAATTATGCTTGCAGTACACTTCAAGAAAACTCATTCTGTGTGATTCGTGCACGGATTTTCATTAAAAAAAAAGATTCTGGAAGAAATGTGCACGGCGGAATTTCAAACAGCCTGCGTGATGCAAGCCCTGCCCATGGAAATGGAGGTGGCAAATCAAGATGGGCATATAATGTCCAGAGGCAAAATGTGCGCACGTCAGGTTTAGTGGCCTATGTCCGCTGCAGTGCCGGTCAACAGCAAATCCCATTCCACGAAGCCCTCGTTGGGTTTCCACGGTGCCGCACCAGTGGGGCGCAGCTGCACTCGGATGAGCGTCTGTGTTTATGTTCTTATTTGTATTACACTCGTTTACCTAGGAAACCCCTCAAGAGTCGCAAGACTCGTTTATTTTTCAGCAGGGTTCCGCTGAGTTTTCCCGGTAGGGACGAGAGTTGTCGTGTGGAATACCAATTGAGTAATGTTCAATCGACTTTTCAACGGTGGAATGTTTTTTTTTGGCCAATGCCAGTTCCTTTAGCTATGGGAGGAAACCGGAGCACCAGGAGAAGAACGTATCAAAAACAAAAACACTCTGCACGAAAAAGGATGCCCTGAGTCGGGAACAAAACCCAGGCCCTTCTTGCCATGAGGCACGAGTGTCACCACTGTGGACTGTAGGTGCAAACGGGCCACACGAATCTTGCGGCATGGGCCCCTTCATGAGCACTCCCCTTTTTGTGGCCACGCCTTCAAATCTACGACGCTGGAATGGTGGATCTGGGAAGAGCATGATCAAGTTGTTCCGCTTTTCCGTAGCTCCCACCCCCACCCCACCCCCCCACCTAGGTCCACCATTGCCCCGGACACTTTGACCCGGTTTGCTATGTGGATTGAGGCAGGGTGGACTGTGATTCCCCAATCAAGGACTTGGCCCATGTTAAATAAGAAATCGTGAACCGGAGTTGACTTATCACAAAACCCTGATTTGTAATACCACAAAAATATGGCAGGATGATGGACGAAAAATTCCTCGTGAATTGGGCCCTCTGGAATTTAAAAAAGCAGCCAGAAAGGACGGTTACCGGCCTTTTGACTGTAATAAGTGCATAAGAAGAATGTTGAAAATTGCTTGGCAAAACAGGACAGTGTTCACATTTTTTATTTTAATCAGAGGTGTGGAAAGGTGCTGTGTCGGATGGAGGAGGGCAGGTTACTGAGTAAGACATTTAGGTGGCACTCAAGAGGTCAGAAGCCAAGGATAACACTTGGTGCGATATTCTAATAGAGCACGTGTAATAGCAGACTGTATATCAGACGCAATAGTTGCAGGATCTGGCAGAAGTTACAATAATAAATAATGTAATTTTATTCACAATATTTCACTAGACATAAATGACCACGAGTGAGGTGCAGAGCCAAGCTCAGTGTCGCTCGAAAGGCCCGGGCGAAAGAAATGGAACCACTTTAAGTGTCTCTTAAAAGTCGGTGTAGATTGAACGCTGCTGAGAATGTGCAGCAGCGTTCCAGACGGCAGGAGCTACCGCGGAAAAACGACGCCCGACAGTGACATCCCTGGTCCCTGGGTATAGAGATGATTGTCGTGGGTCGCACCGTGGAGGGAGTTCTAACGTGAGCTGTGGTGCTGGGTGACAGGAATGCAGAAATAAACGGTGGGAGGCCGAAAGTGGAGGCGCGGTGGCAAAGGCAGGCAATCCTGTAGCTGCTCCTGCTGGTGATGGAAAGCCATTGGAAGGCATGGAGGGAAGTGAGAGAATCTAGCCTAGGATGACAGACACTGACGATGGCATGGGAGATATGGTATTGCAACTGTTGGAGTTTCCTGAGGTTACCCGATGGAGATCGAATAAAGACGGAGTGGCGAATAGTCGAGGCGAGATTCGACTACGCTGCAGGCGAGGGTATCGGCAATTTCTGTGGCGATGAGTGGACGGAAATCACGGAGGCCCATGAGATGGTAGTTACAGGATCTGATGATGTGCTTGGTGTTGCTGTCAAGGGAGAAGGTGGAGTCAAGAGTGACTGCGAGGAGGGCCTTGAAGTGGTGACAGAAGTGAGTGGTGGAGCCAGCATTGGACTTGCTCGACGTGTGAAGGTGGTGAGATGTAGTGTGGTGACAATCAGGATGGCCTCAATTGGATAAATATAGCACAGCAAACCAATATTTTATTGACCGGTTGTCATGTGCTCATGAAAATCTCTGCGAATCATGTCCAATGTGTCAAAAAACACAGCTGTTGTTGTGTAGGAATGACAATCCATGGATATCCATAATTACTGAGATGTGATTAAAAAATAAAGCCCTTTCAATTGTAATTTTTGAAACCACAACCACAGATGATTAAAGAGGAAGGGCCTTTCACAAAGTCAAACAAACATCAGCATTAATAATGCGCCACATATGCGACCTTCATTAGCCGCACCAACACGTGAGTGTTTCATCAGAAGGATTAACAATCTATTTATTTATTTATCTTGATGGAGATGGAAACGCAATTCCTGCTACTCTGAAGAGTTGGGCATAAGATGGCCATCACGATATTGTCCCAGTTTCAGTTGAGCTCATCCTTGCACTCCACTGATTAGCAATGCCAATGTGATGGATGTATTTTACTTTCAGTACAAGAGCCTCGCAGCATCTCTTTTTTTAAAATATAAGACATATTTCAAGTTCATTTGTCAAGCCGCAGTCCACCGATCTTGGCATGCACATCCAATATTATTATGAGTCATACATTTTAATGAGCGACGACTGTGTGAGATAGCAATGCTGCTCTTTCAACTGTAATTTCATGTCCTTGAATTCTCTGTTTGAAAGCACATGCAGTTGTTGTTTGGTATCAAAAAGTGTGGTGTCTTATGAACAGAATGTTTCACAGGGATTGTTGTCACAAATTACATCTTAGCGACTGCCTTGTAAGACCAATTTGGTCGCATGCCAATCTTGTGGTGACATCCTGTGATATATTGGGGATAATAAAACGTTCCTGGCGCAACAAGTTTAGTTCAAAAGGTGGATAACTCAATTTAAAGCTTTCGTGACTGCAAGGATTAATCTTCTTGGTTCTTTCGTTAAAGTCACGTAGAATGAGAATAAAATAATATAATAAAGTAAGACAATAAAAATTGTATTCTCATCCTCCGTGACTTTACCGAAAGAACCAAGAAGGTGGATAACTCGTATATTATCAAAGATCTATTTGCATTGTTTCGTTAATGTAAACGTGTATCAGTCATGTACTGAAACAGACATATCCTTGGATGGCACTTATTTAGGCTTTAATCAAATGCTGTTTGATTTTAAAAAAAATCACTGAATGTCTATAACTAATGAGTCAGGAGCAGAATAGTTCTTATTGACTATATAAGATAAATTATTTTTATGCAATTTATTTCCCAGTGAAAAGCCCAGATGAAAAGTATGAAATTTTATTCATATTTCATGCGGATTTATTTCCATGGCATTAATTGCTTAGCTGTGCATTGATATAACAGACGGCGGATATACATCTGCATTTCTCACTCTGAGGCCTTAGTGCCATATAATGAATTCTACTTACTTATATTCCATAGTGTTTAGGTTGTATATCTTGTGCCCTACTCCTGTTGTTTTCCCTCTATCCCCAATAAATGGAGACGTAAACCAAAAATACTATGTTTATTACAGACCACTGGGTTGAATTACATGCGTTTTGTGGTTGTACTCCTCAAGTATATTATATGCAGTGAGGGTTATTCAGGTTGCAGGAATCGGAGTGCCACTGATGTATAACAAATCAAGCATTAATCCCAATCCGAGAACCGCTCAAATACATCCAATGGCCGGTGACGGGTAAACTGCTGGTGTGTTGCGCCCACCTCGATTTTCACACATTGTACTTTACTGAGAAGTACATCACCTGCATTAGAGATAAGGCCCCCACCGAGTCCATGAAATTGAATCCACTGCAGTCCAGTACAATGGCCTGGAGTGGTGGACCACTCTCTGTCTGTGCCACAGGTGGCGAGCCACACGCAGAGAGCGCACCGCCAGCCTGACCTGTGAAGCCATCAGTGCGGTGACAACATTGCGACACAATCAGCTCGGGACTCCAAAGGCAACACGTTCTCTTGGTATGAGGGATATATTACCTGGAATTTTTGTAGAGTGCATTGCCATTATATCGGCGTGTAGGCTGTGCAGGTTCCACAGTGAATGTAACAATTCACATCCAATGTAGAAACAAATTATAAGTTGTACACCTCAAATGACAATTGATCAAGTTACAATGTTTACAAAAAATGTGTGTGCGTGTGTGTGTGTGTGTTCTATGGGCGGTAGTGTAGCGGTTAGCGCTGTGCTGCGAGACAAATCTGGCAACCTAAGTTCGATTCCCGCTCACGACCAACACCAGTGACGGTTATCCCCTAGGTCGACTCAGCCTACAAATGAGTACCTAGTGCAGTGCGTAAACATCGCCACTCGGGAGACAAAGGCGGCCGGGCGTAGTTGCTGCCCACCCAATCCCTCGTGTGCTATGGCCGGCCTTAATAGGTGCTCGCTAACAGCACTTGCCCCAACAGTCTGTTAAGGCTACACGGGGGATCTTTGTGTCTGTTTTTGTACGGGCCCCAACAAGCGTTGGGCCTCGGCACGTCTCGTGAAAAAGAGCTGCATAGCTCATCTGATTTTTTTCCAGGATAAATAAGGATTCTGATGAAGCCCAGCGCATGGTCACAGCCAGTGGCTGTAACGGGTGCCCTCACCTCCACATGTTAGACATGGCAAAGTGACACTCACAACATTTGAATTCGTTCATTCAGGCATATATACATTCATTCACTTTAAACTGAACTATAACAAGACTATTTTTATTTTACCAGGTAAGGGCCACTGAGCTACTTAGCGACCTGGCCACAAATTGAAGCTCAACGAAACGGCTTATCACGTAAACATTCATAGCAATCAAAGAATCTAAATGCATGCATCTAAATATGGAGAGAGAGACGAGGGGACCCGGTTAAAAATACACGCAACCACGCGGAGTAAGACTTGCAAACTCCAAATATACAGACATCAGGGTCAGGTTAGAACCCATGTCCTCCTATATACCAGGCGAGGTAGTTAACATCTCGCCACCGTAGCGCCCCTTCGCCACCAGTCATGCATTTATTCAACCATTCATTGAAACCATTTAATCCATTCATGCATTTATCCATCCATTTATTCACGCTTTTATCCATCCATTCATCAATGTATCCGACTATTAATTTATGCCTGAATTAACTATTAATTAATTGATCCAATCAACAATGTATGTATTCAATCATTCTTTAATTCACTCATGCAGTCATTCAGTAATTCATTCATGCCTTGGCTCATGCGCTGCCTGTGCGATGAGTGTCACTTGCACAGCACCTGCTGCCCTGGCCAATGTGCACGTGAATACATATGCAAATGTATGCAAATGGTATGCGTGCATGCCTCACAACTCCCCTGTGCAGTGTATAGGGTCACTGTGCGTCTGTAATTTGATCAATAACCACCAGCAACCATTTGCTTGTCAGACAACCCCAACTTCCACAGTCTGCCACTTGCCCAAAGTCAGTGGTGGACATTCCACACTCCCTTGGTGGAAGTGAATCACCCAATATGACAACCACTGTTGAGGGATTATGGGTTATAGAAATGAAATGGTTACACGTTTCTTCCATTGCACGTAACAACAATGTGTATGCACAAGAATAAACTTACAAAAGTATTGTGGAGAGAAAAAAAAAACACCTTCTGCGTTAGCCCTTTAACCTTATTTAAACTAATAACTCAATCTTTGACCCACGAGGATCAACGTTTAATTCGTGACAATGCAAACCAGTGGCCTTGGCTGTTAATGCAGTGCTGCAACATCAGGCCAGCAAAGGATTAATCTGCCAAAGACACACTCGCTGACACGTGCCATTAGCCGGAATAATGAGTGTGTGTTTAATGAAGAGCGTATGCCTATTTGAGAACTTTACTACAATGTTTACAATATGCAGATAAATGCTAAAATGTAATTTCTTTGCTTAGTGGATCACACCATTGCATATAAGTGACACAATTTACTAAGATTGTATTTTGTGGACAAGATAACTGTTTTAACAGGTTAAGTTAATGCACACTGCACAGGCGTATAAAGATGTTAATTTAATATGTTTTACTTTAGTCATTTACTACTAAAAGGCAATTTGCATAAACGTCTCCAAGAGCAATTTTCTTATGGTAATGTTTCTAACCTCTGTGAAAGAGGCATGCAAATTGCTGTGGATGAAATATTGATATGCATGGAAAATGCGCACTCTTCAAAGTTCGTGCAACATTGCCGGTGGCGCAATATTTCGGAGAGAAGAAAACGTTTACTCTTTATTTTGCATGTTAGGCAACACAATTCAATTAAAATAGTAATCACATTGTCGCTTAATGTTCGAAACAACGTACTTTACAGCAAATATCGATTTCCATTCGACAGTGAAATGCTGGCAGATGGAGGATACCGATTTTAGGATGGTACTGTGCGAAATATACTGTTTAAAAAAAACCTGCTTACAATAATTTACGTTCAACTGCTGCCGGCTACCAAGAGATTTCCTTACCTTGGGGGCTTGTGCCCTCTGCAGTAAATGAGGGATTATTCATCGCAAAATGTGAGTCTCCATCTCTTGGCGAGCAGTTCTGTTAAAATACACGTGAAAGCAAATTGCAATAAATATACAGTATAAATGTTATTTGAATTTAAACTCGTGTATTACATTTTTTTAAAACCGAATATCCCCCGTGTAGCCTTAATGGACTGTAGGGACAAGTGCTTTAGTGAGTACGTATGGAGGCCGGAACAGCACACGAGGTGGTGGGTGGTCATCACCACGCCCGGCCACCTTTGTCTCTCTGGTGGTGATGTTTACACATTGCACCATTTGGCTGTGAGCGGGCATCTTAATCGGGTCGCTGAGTTCCGTAGCACAGCGTGCTAACCACTACACTATCGCTCCCCATTAAAAAAAAACCGCACATACTTTAATTCCAACTGAAAATATTTTACATCTAAACAAATAACTCAGCAAAACAAAAGGTTTGTAAAATGCTTCGAGAGGGCACATAACCTCAGAACCAGTGCCACGAAAAAGTGAATTGCCAGTCCAGTATATAACACCATGTCAAAGATGGGTGCTCTTCTGATTTGTGCTGAATTACTTTGAACATGCAATCTCAGTATAACTGCTGTAACTTGATGATAAATGTTGATAATCTATGCATATATATATTCAGGACTTGTGCTCGTGAGAGATTGGACAACTGCATCGGTGTCAACTGAATAAAAGGCTGTGTTAGATTCACGGCTTATGTTTGGAGGGTAGGGATGTGTCGTGGCTGGCCTCCAATAGGTTATCCAAAGCGTCACAGGTTCTCCCTTCTCACATGAATGCCATCCCAGGATTGGAGTGGAATCGGGGCCAATTCCACACACGAAGCATTAGCATGGCAGTTTAATGGTGATTCTGACCACCAACAATGTGCCAGAATCACCGTTATGGCTGCCTGATATTGGCGATGCAAAGCTAAGTTCCAGGAGACGTTGATGCAGTTATCCGAGCTCTCAAGGTCAGGGTGGAATCGTAGGGAACAAATACAATTCCTGCAGGTATCGGGCTGGATCTAATCAGTACAAGGACCACTGTTCCTCCGTGCATCACCCAAACAAGATTGAGTCACGTCCTGATTGGTTGAGTGGATATATATTTAAAAAATTCATATAAAACGAATTCATTATTAAATAAAGCTGTTTTCAAGTACATAGTCACACTTTCTAACACTGTCAACTATATATGCCTATGTGGTGTCAAGCCATTGTGTAGCTTCGTTGTGAGCAGTGTGGCCAAATCCACTGTTGTACTGTACTCCTTTGCTTCCACATCGATGATCGCTGACTTCACCAACGCACAACTCATCAGTTTGGTGAAGTGTGGAAAAATAACAGTGTAACATTTTTGTATTAATTGTTCCTGGTTAGTAAGTGTTATTTCCTGATTGCTTATGCCTCAAAAGTACAGAAAATAGCTATTATTCCCCACAATCTTTGCTTTTGTGACCAGGACAGTGATATTTTGAAACTTACCTAATTTCCAGAACATTCCAGATAGATTCAGTGCTGAGTAAACTTGGAATAACTTCTAGAACATTCTAGAACTTTACAGTAATATAAATAGTAGTATAAATACAGGGGCCTGAAGCCCACCAGTTCAATTTAGTTCCAGCTGCCTAAGTGGATACACATTTGCATATTTCTGAGATGGCATCAAGAGGCTGCAAGCATCCGGCAGACACATTTTGCTATGTCTGTGGCCAACTTATCAAGACGAGTGAAGAAGTACTCTGTGGAAGCATCTGCTAAGATGTGTGAGGCCCACAATACATATTTCGGCATGCCTGTCGGGGATCAAGACAAACCCTGGGCACCTCATTTCACCTGCGAGCAGTGCAAAAAAACTCTGGAAGGTACGATGGACAATTGTTGCTCGGAATTTGATGTTATAAAATTTGTTAAAATCTTGACTCAACGCTTTCGTGACTGCAGGAATTCATACTCTTTGGGTCTTTCGGTAAAGTCACGTAGATAGGAAAAAAAATCACGTTTCGATCGCAAACACGAGCAATCGTCTTCAGGTGAAAAAATACAGCAGGCGGACTGCTGAGGCAGGAGAAATATAGCGAGAGAGCTGCTGCAGCAAGAGGTTATATAGGTTTGAGATGGATACACCCCAAGGGTAAGTGGGTGGGGCTAGAGATGGAATTTACAAGTAATATACCTCAGCCAATGGCTTCTTCAGCACCGTAGTCGTGGGGTTACAGCAATACAATGGCCGAGGAATACAGTATTACTTGTGTAGTGTTCGACTTTACGCGGACAACTTCTGTCTTTCTTCAAACATCGCTTTATTTACAACATTCAACACGTCCTCCACACTCCACAGGATCCTGGTCACCACGGCTCGCTCGCCGTGCTCCGCTCGTCTCGCTCACCACCTTTGTCTCCCCACTATCACTTCACTTGCTTCGCACTCAGCGACTCACCGTTCAGCAACTCCGCACACAGCGTCTTCGCACACTCCGCACACAGCGTCTTCAGCTCCGCTACCGCTACGCTCACTCCACTGCTAACTACTTCGTCTTGCTTCAGCTCCGCTATCGCTACGCTCACTCCACTGCTAACTACTTTGTCTTGCTTCACACTGTTCCAACTCCATTTCCCACTCTGTCTCCAAACTCTGGTTCCAAACTCTGGTTCCAAACTCTGGTTCCAACCTCGGTTTCTACTCTGTTTCTACTCTGGTTCCAAACTCTGGTTCCAAACTCTGTTTCCAAACTCTGTTTCTACTCTGTTTCCAAACTCCACGTCTTCATCGTCCAGCTCCCAACTCCAACTCCCCCTCTCTGTGTGTCTCCCCCCAATTTATCCCCATTCTCATTATCGCTAATTAATTGGCCTGCATGCCTCCCCACGCTTCGCGTTCTCAAACACCTGCCTTTCTCCAGACATCTCGACGCCTCCTCGCCCTTGACAACAGCCACAGCCAATCACCGCCGTTGCTGATCCTCTGGCTTAATTGGCTCAACCGTTACCTCATCATCCCAGCCCTTGCACCTGGCTGTCCTAAGACGACCCACACTGTTTTCGCCTTCTCCACAGGCTGACCCCAGATAACCCCACACTGTCCGTGTGATCATGCAATCGCGCAGTTTCCACAACACACCTTCATACTCCACTACACTTGTAAATTCCGTCTCTAGCCCCGCCCACTTACCCTTGGGATGTACCCATCTCAAACCTATATAACCTCTTGCTGCAGCAGCTCTCTTGCTATATTTCTCCTGCCTCAGCAGTTCGCCTGCTGTATTTTTTTCACCTGAAGACGATTGCTTGTGTTGCAATCGAAACGTCGTGATTTATTTTTATTTTTCTATCTACGCGACTTTACTGAAAGACCCAAAGAGTATTTGTTAAAATGTTTAAAATTGTAAAAGGTTTCATTAACATTTTTTTCTACAATTTTCAATGTTATTTAAAAAATATACCATATATGAAAAATGTTGCGAGAATCTCTTACACATTAGTCATGGGTGAAATAAATGTATTTTTGTAGGATGGTACAGAGGGGAAAAGAGAGCCATGAAGTTCCCGATCCCATGAAGTTCCCGATCCCAATAATTTGGCGGGAACCCACTGACCACTCAAGCAACTGCTGCTTCTGCATGGTGGACCCTTCCAAATATCGGACTGGCAAGAATGCACCTGCTATCACGTATTCAGACATTCCTTCATCCATCGCCCCGGTGCCACACTGCCATGAACTCCCCATACCCACTCCTCCGGAGAGAGAGCAGCCGTCTTTAGAAGAGAGCAGCAAGTCAGAGAGCAAAGAAGATGTTGAAGATCCAGATGACAATATCAGAGGTGGAGCTGAGGAGAGAAACCCATAGTACCCCAACCAAAAATACTTCAACGACTTGATCAGAGATCTTGGTCTCACCAACTCCAATGTCGAGCTTTTGGCATCTAGGCTCAAGCAGTGGAACTTGTTGGATAAAAGTGTGCAATTCGCAGATCAGAGGAAGCGTCACCAACCTTTTTGCAGCTTCTTCACCCGTCAAGATGGGCTCTGCTTCTGCCACAATGTGACCAGTCTGTTCGAGGCAATCAGAATCGCCTGTAACCAGAATGAGTGGTGCCTCTTCATTGACAGCAAATCCAGGAGCCTCAAAGCCGTGCTGCTCCATAATGGTAACAAGTATCCGTCTCTTCCCCTAGCTCACTCGGTGCACCTCAAATAGAATTATAACAGCATCAAGACCTTGCTGGACACCTTGAAGTATGATGAGTACGGCTGGGAGGTCATCAGAGACTTCAAGATGGTGGCATTCCTGATGGGTCTCCAAAGCGGTTTTACCAAGTTTCCCTGCTATCTTTGCCTTTGGGACAGCAGGAACACCAAGGCGCACTACCACTGGCGGGACTGGCCACAGCAGACCTAGTTCTCTGTGGAGAGGAACAACGTCAAGTGGGAGCCACTTGCCTTATGAAACAATTTGTCAGAGCTGTAGATAAGGAGTCAGCAGCCTTCAAGTACAGTACCTTCAAGACTTCTTCCCTAAGCTGTCTGAGGCAAAAGTCAAAGCCGGTGTCTTCATCGGACCACAGATAAAGAATATCCTGTAGTGCTGCTTGGAACAGCTTTGTCGCAGTGTTTCGTGGCTTCCTGGGCAATCACAAGGTCGAAAACTATGTGGAGCTGAATTTCGATTTAAAGCTTTCGTGACTGCAATGAATCATCTTCTTTGGTTCTTTCGGTAAAGTCACGTAGAATGAGAATAAAATAATAAATTGATAAAATAAAATATGTGGAGCTGGTTGCGACTGGTGAAGAACTACGGCACAATGGGCTGTAGGATGTCCCTCAAAGTCCATATCCTTGATGCTCATCTTGATAAATTCAAGGAGAACATGGGAGCGTACTCAGAGGAGCAAGGCAAGCGCTTTCACCAGGATATACTGGACTTTGAATGCTGCTTCCAAGGACAGTATAACGAGAACATAATAGGAGACTACATTTGGGGGCTGATTCGTGAAAGTGATTTACAGTATGATCGTAAATATCGAAAAACTACTCACTTCTAAA